ATGTCATGTGAGGAGTGGCTTCCGTCTGGCCACTCTACCATAAAGGCCTGATTGGTGGAGTGCTGCAGAGATGGTTGTCCTTCTGGAAGGTTCTCCCATCTCCACAGAGGAACTCTGGAGCTCTGTCAGAGTGACAATCAGGTTCTTGGTCACCTCCCTGACCAAGGCCCTTCTCCCAAGATTGCTCAGTTTGGCCGGGCGGCCAGCTCTAGGAAGAGTCTTGGTGCTTACAAACTTCTTCCATTTAAGAATGACGGAGGCCACTGTGTTCTTGGGGACCTTCAATGCTGCAGACATTTTTTTGTACCCTTCCCCAGATCTGTGGCTCGACACAATCCTGTCTCGGAGCTCTACGGACAATTCCTTCAACCTCATGGCTTGGTTTTTGCTGACATGCACTGTCAACTGTGGGACCTTATATAGACAGGTGTGTGCCTTTCCAAATCATGTCCAATCAATTGAATTTACCACAGGTGGACTCCAATCAAGCTGTAGAAACATCTCAAGGATGATCAATGGAAACAGGATGCACCTAAGCTCAATTACGAGTCTCATAGCAAAGGGTCTGAATACTTATGTAAATAAGGTACTTTTTATTTTTAATACATTTGCAAAGATTTCTAAAGACCTGTTTTTACTGTCATCATAGGGTATTGTGTGTAGATTAAGAATAAGGCTGTAACGTAACAAAATGTGGAAAAAGGGAAGGGGTCTGAATACTTTCCGAATGCACAGTACTTCACTTTTTACTACTTTAATAAACATATAACTGAATTTGTCCCAATACTTTTGGTCCCCTCAAATGGGGGGACTATGTATAAAAAGTGCTGTAATTTCTAAACGTTTCACCTGATATGGTTGAAAATACCCTCAAATTAAAGCTGACTGCACTTTAACCTCATAGACATTGTATCATTTTAAATCCAAAGTGCTGGAGTACAGAGCCAAAACAAAAACATTTTAACCGTCCCAATACTTTTGTAGCTCACTGTATCTGTAAAGCATTTTGTAACATCTGCTGATCTAAAAAGGTCTTTGTAAAATAAATTAGATTCATTGATTGCCAGGTGACGCTTTCCTTCAGCACCTATGTGGTTCTCAACCTTTAAAGTAACGGTCTAGTGTTTCTAGATTTCTATGAAATATGACCTATACAGTGGGGGAAAAAAGTATTTAGTCAGCCACCAATTGAGCAAGTTCTCCCACTTAAAAAGACGATAGAGAGGCCTGTAATTTTCATCATAGGTACACGTCAACTATGACAGACAAAATGAGAAAAAAAATCCAGAAAATCACATTGTAGGATTTTTAATGAATTTATTTGCAAATGATGGTGGAAAATAAGTATTTGGTCAATAACAAAAGTTTCTCAATACTTTGTTATATACCCTTTGTTGGCAATGACACAGGTCAAACGTTTTCTGTAAGTCTTCACAAGGTTTTCACACACTGTTGCTGGTATTTTGGCCCATTCCTCCATGCAGATCTCCTCTAGAGCAGTGATGTTTTGGGGCTGTCGCTGGGCAACACAGACTTTCAACTCCCTCCAAAGATTTTCTATGGGGTTGAGATCTGGAGACTGGCTAGGCCACTCCAGGACCTTGAAATGCTTCTTACGAAGCCACTCCTTCGTTGCCCGGGCAGTGTGTTTGGGATCATTGTCATGCTGAAAGACCCAGCCACGTTTCATCTTCAATGCCCTTGCTGATGGAAGGAGGTTTTCACTCAAAATCTCACGATACATGGCCCCATTCATTCTTTCCTTTACACGGATCAGTCGTCCTGGTCCCTTTGCAGAAAAACAGCCCCAAAGCATGATGTTTCCACCCCCATGCTTCACAGTAGGTATGGTGTTCTTTGGATGCAACTCAGCATTCTTTGTCCTCCAAACACAACGAGTTGAGTTTTTACCAAAAAGTTATATTTTGGTTTCATCTGACCATATGACATTCTCCCAATCCTATTCTGGATCATCCAAATGCACTCTAGCAAACTTCAGACGAGCCTGGACATGTACTGGCTTAAGCAGGGGGACAAGTCTGGCACTGCAGGATTTGAGTCCCTGGCGGCGTAGTGTGTTACGGATGGTAGGCTTTGTTACTTTGGTCCCAGCTCTCTGCAGGTCATTCACTAGGTCCCCCCGTGTGGTTCTGGGATTTTTGCTCACCGTTCTTGTGATCATTTTGACCCCACGGGGTGAGATCTTGCGTGGAGCCCCAGATCGAGGGAGATTATCAGTGGTCTTGTATGTCTTCCATTTCCTAATAATTGCTCCCACAGTTGATTTCTTCAAACCAAGCTGCTTACCTATTGCAGATTCAGTCTTCCCAGCCTGGTGCAGGTCTACAATTTTGTTTCTGGTGTCCTTTGACAGCTCTTTGGTCTTGGCCATAGTGGAGTTTGGAGTGTGACTGTTTGAGGTTGTGGACAGGTGTCTTTTATACTGATAACAAGTTCAAACAGGTGCCATTAATACAGGTAACGAGTGGAGGACAGAGGAGCCTCTTAAAGAAGAAGTTACAGGTCTGTGAGAGCCAGAAATCTTGCTTGTTTGTAGGTGACCAAATACTTATTTTCCACCATAATTTGCAAATAAATTCATTAAAAATCCTACAATGTGATTGTCTGGAGAAAAAAATTATCAATTTGTCTGTCATAGTTGACGTTTACCTATGATGAAAATTACAGGCCTCTCTCATCTTTTTAAGTGGGAGAACTTGCACAATTGGTGGCTGATTAAATACTTTTTTCCCCCACTGTAAGTATTTACAATGTACAGCTTTTCTGTGTTGGAATGGTGTGGGCATAAAATATTCATGCAAGTAGACAACTGACTGGCCAGCTCAGACAATATGACACCATGTTCTATGAGGAAAAACGGTCTGTTTGAGATACAAGTGGTTTTTCTCCAATTTATGCTTTGGCCACTAATTCAAGTACAGGACGAGTCAACTAAATTATTTGGGTATGAGTTAACAAAATATGAACATTTAAAAGTGAGATTTCACTGGACAGTTACTTTAAAGGTCAGAAAATAGATTTTCCTGTTTTATATTTCCACTCGAGGTTGGAATAATACTGTGAAATTGTGAAAATCATAATCCCTTTTAGTGTAAGAGCTGTTTGAAAAGATCACCTGAAATTTCAGCCTGTTTTGGTGGGTAGGGCCGTGTTTGAGAGCATCAAAACCGTGATGTATCGTTGGTAAATTGAGACCTACTGATAATATTGAGTAGTTATTTAGGATGCAAGGTGATTTGTAGTCAGTCTCAACTCGCATTTAAAGTCAGCTGCAATGTCGAACACGCCCTTTGGGCTTGTTTGAGTGGTAAGGCGAAAGCACCCGACTGTAGACATTTACGTCATTTAGCAGACGCTCTTATCCAGAGCGACTTACAGGAGCAATTAGGGTTAAGTGCCTTGCTCAAGGGCACATCGACAGATTTTTCACCTAGTCGGCTCGGGGATTAGAACCAGTGACCTTTCGGTTACTGGCACAACGCTCTTAACCACTAAACTACCTGCCGCCGTAGACCAAAGTCGAGGAGTGAAGTTGGGGGAGGTGCACTCTGCGACAGCCGAAAGTCAGACACTGATGTGGTTTTCCAAAAGCAAGGCTCAGTGCAACATGGCAGTGTTGCCATTGTTTACAAAAGTTTTTCTTTATAATGTCAAAATAAGTCTCCAACCCCCATACCACACAATCACAAACTGAAAATAAGTGTACATTGTACAATCAATTGGTTAGAGAACAAGCCTCATATCACATTAATTTGAACATTTCCACTGTATAAATGAATTGCAGCAAAGTTAGTTCCGGTTTCAATCACATCTTTGGTCACGTTCAGGTGTGTCAAACAAGAACACCCTAATGATTGGTTGACAATAGAGCCTCCCACAATGCAGGATGAAGTTGAAGAGCAATTGCAGAAACGTGCAGTCAAAACTTCATGACCTATGATCAAGATTTTTGTAAAGTTCATGTCAACATGTAGCCGCAAGCCGGACAATTTTTATCCCCATAATTCAACACTTTGAAAGGCGGTGACCAACGATGATCACCAACTTGACAAAATGATCCACTCAAACACGCCCATTGACTTTTGGCCTTCCATGGTGACATCAACATGCAGTAGAATAGTTAATAGACCAATAAGAGTCCAAATCCTCTTTGCCAATAACAGCTCATTTCCCCCTCCCCACTCAGACCACTCCCAGACAGTCCAAGCTAAATTCTTGCTTGAGAAACTGTTTCTTTTTTACTTTTTTAATTGAGATCACTAAGGTACTTTTGAAATGATTTGATATATAGATAAAAACGGCTGCATTGGACCTTAACATCTCTCAAAAACATCCTTGCTTCACAAAGCAAATTGTAGCCCTTAAATTCCCACAACAAAAAAGGAAATGTGTTATAGAAAGTAATTTATTACACAATGTAACCAAGGCTAGTTTACAAATACAGTTCCAGTCATGTATGTGTATACATATGAATATACCCACGTCTTATATTTACAGATTTGCATACAACATGTTTTCCTGTTTATTTGTTTCAACACTTACTTTCCGGTTTCACATCCAGAAACTAATGATTTGTACATAAGAGACTACGATTTAAAGGAGTTATCAGCCATGTTTGTGTTCCAAACAAAGAAACGGCAGCCAGCCCACAGAGTCCAGGCAGACAGAGAACTTGACTGGCAGTCCAGAGGCCAGCCCTTCTCCCGACCGCCCCAAAAACAGCATTTGGCAGGTGAAATGTAAATACTGATAAATGTTTACCATGACTTTTAAAAAAATAAGATGAGTAAAAACCAAACAACAAAAATCTGAGATCATCTCCCAAAGCAAAGAGACAAGCTCCAACGGTCGGTCGGCAAGTGTGAGGGGAGCGGTGGGAGGGGTCGGGTGAGATGTAAACGGGTGCTTATCCAACCCCCTTCGTCCATCCACACACTTGCCAGAGCCCCTGGTACAGGGACTGAGTCCTGTCATGCAGTCTACAGAAGGAGACATTTATTGCTCTTCTTGCCCCTCCGGGCCTGTAGTGCCGCCCTGGTGGCCATCTCAAACACCTCCCGCACGCCATCCTTCGTCTTCGCCGAGCACTCCATGTAGCCGAACGCTCCGATCCTGTTGGCCATGTCACGGGCCTCCTCTGGCTTCACTGGCTCCTACAGAGAGTTAAGAAGCACTGTCAGGACATCCAAAAAACACTGACCATATCATGCGGAAAGAGTGACAGATAGTTGGTGTGGTTTAGGGTGAGTTTTCCGAAAGCTTTTAGCCAACGTGGCCATTTTTCTCTCATCCCAGTTTGTTTATAATCCCATTAGTTTGTAGAGAGTGGGAAAATATTTGCCTGTCCTTTCTACGTACCTGTTTCATCTTGGCCAGCTCCCGGCGTGTGTGTTCATCGTTGCGCAGGTCCTTCTTATTGCCTACGAGGATGATGGGAACGTTGGGACAGAAGTGTTTGACCTCTGGAGTCCACTTCTCTGGAATGTTCTCTGTACAGAACCAAAGGGTCAAGGGTCAGACAAGCACACACACAAACGCTCAGTACATTTGGCAAGATATGGGGTAGTGTGTAGTGTACCGGAGGGAGGAGGTGGAGAAGAGCTATTGCTGTCCTATGCGTATTGGATGTGTGAGTGAGTACTTCACTAGTCAGAATGGGCTGAACAACCCACCTATAAAAGGAAACCATGTGCGGATAATAGCAAGAGAGTGAGTGTGTAAGCTCACCCAAGCTGTCAGGGCTGTCAATGGAGAAACACATGAGGATTACGTCAGTGTCGGGGTAGGAGAGTGGGCGAAGCCTGTCGTAGTCCTCTTGGCCAGCTGTATCCCACAGAGCCAGCTCCACCTAGTACAGAGTAGACAACCACCACTGTTAACCCACATACAGATATGCTTGAAGTGGCAAGTGTATGTCAGCTGTGACTGGGTTTATCAGCAAACCCCTGGCAACAGAAATAAACCATAGACCATCTTGTAAACATATTGATTCAGTAAAATATACATTGTACAATAATTAAGTCTGCCTACCGCAGACTTTCATGAGCACACAGGACTTCGTTTAGAAAATCAGGATAATTGGATAGTAGTTTTAGGTGTAGGTCAATTTCAATGAGGAATGGATAGAGGACAATGTCAGAAAAACACTAACTCCCAACAAATCAGGAAAAATTGCATCTCTGATAAATGAGTCACTCTTTGAAAATGGATAACTGGACATTTTCGAGAAGGGCAAGTGGCTTAAATGAGAAAAGCAAATTAGAGCAAGACACTTCTACAAGCATGACACATGAAGGTAAGCAGAATACATCAGCCAATCAAATCTAGATGTCCCAGATTTCTAGTCGAGCCACATTGAGGCCAGGACACCTGGGTTTATAACTCACACAGGCCGCTATCTAATGAAGTGTCATAGGGTCTTACATTACAATTTTAGATTACATATTCCTTACATCATTCAGAAGCATATGCTGCACCTAATACATTTATATACTTGGTTAACTGAACAAACATGTGCCATACCATTATACCCGTCTGCCCCTATAGGTACAGATAAACATAGCCCAATCCCAACCAGCCGATACCATGATAGCCAAGACCAGCACTATTGAACACACCAACAGTGACGCGACCTTGAAAACCAGCTAGCAATTTGGGCTACATATTTCACCTAACCTGATTTACACCTTCAACTGAGAAATAAAAGTGTGTGGTTGAGTCTGTATCCATTACCTGTTTGCTGTCCACCTCAATGTCAGCCACATAGTTCTCAAAGACAGTGGGAACGTAGACCTCAGGGAACTGGTCTTTACTGAAGACTATCAACAGACAGGTCTTCCCACAAGCACCATCTCCCACGATCACCAGCTTCTTACGAATCGCCGCCATGCCTGAGAAGAGAGAAGTAAAATGCATTTAGAAACACACAAGCAAGACAACAGCCTTATATTAAACAGGTTTTATAACTGCTGTGGCCTCAAATAGGATCAGTGTAGTGGATCGACTGGACACTTCAACACTATTGTGGAGATACGCAAAGCTAACAGCCACACTTGTATCCTCAAATGATTTCCCCCAGTGGGGCTTATTGGGGGAAAACACTTGCCTTCAACACCAGCAGAGGTTAAAGGGATAATTTACTTTTAACTAGCTGGTTAAAGTCTGTATGTGTCCTACCCATCCATGTCTTCGAAGACATCAACAACCAATGTTAACCAGGCTCTAGCAAAACCGGCATGATCCAGAAGAAACTGCAGGTGTGGTGTATATTCTACACCTGGCACAGGTAATCCCCACTAATAACCTTTGAGTAAATGCCTCATGTAAATATGTGTGCAAGGAAATTGACAGCAGAGGGAAAGATAATTATTCCATCCATTCAGTGATTGTATTGCTGCTCAGGTTAAACTAGTTGCTGAATGTTAGGATCACAAGTCAGGACCAACAATGAATGGTGCATTCAAGGTGGAAAACATACCCCATGTATTTTTAGACTGAGGGACATGTGTGACCGCGCCAACTCTGATGTACAGTCCCCTACTCTGTTATGTTTAGACTACTTCCAGAATAGGTCTTGACAACATTTAGCTAGTATTGCCATGTATAACCATGATACATTTGACTGGTTATTTAACTACCAGCACACTGATCCTGTGGACACCATGCGGTGGTAGAAGCGCATTATGTGTCAAAGCTGTATCCTAGTGATCATTGGTGTGATGTTCCCATTAGTCAAACGTCACATAAGATGGGTTCTCTGAGTCTTAAGCAGTCACATACAGGACATAATCAGACTCTGTCATGTACGGCAAGCAGCTTTTAGTTTCTTGGCTGACATTACATTAATTACTACTATAACACTGCTTAGGATAGGCAGGCATTAAAGTAGCAACCGTAGCTAAGTGCATTCAAATGTTTAGGCAAGATGGCGTCAAAGCATCAACAGATGGCTGTTGTCCGCAGTAAGGGCGGCCCCATTCCAAACAAACTCACTTCGCTAGCTCTCCACCAGCAAAACGGTATCTGTGCAATAGCAAAACAGGGTCTGGTCACTGAAGTGAAATAAAAATGGTCAAACCTAGAACGCAACTTGTCTAACTACTTAACGAACGTTACCTAAAATAAAGACACTGATACTTGTCATCTATGGCTGGGCCGAGCTAAACCACCCAATCAGATTTAAACAAAGTTTTTTTTTAATATAGTTAGCTATTAGCTAGAAAATTAATGTAGAACATTTGTTTATAGGATTGCACGTAAAAGTAAAAAACAGTAACGTTACTACTAAGAAGCTACAGTAGCTAGCTTACGTTAGCTACTTGACAAAACACAGTAACGTTAGTTAACGTAGCTAGCAAGCCAACTGGTCAGAATTATTGTGGCTAACCGATAACGCTAGTTGTTGGCTAACTTGCTAACAGCAACAAACGGACACGCCGGTTTGTTTCAAATACTGACTTGCTTCTGCGGACGTTAACTAGCTAACTAACTAAGCAAGTTAGCTGGTGGGGATACGTTAGGTAGCTAGTTACAGGGGCGTTATTCTGCGATTTCTTTTAGAGGATAAAAACTGTGATAAAACAATGGAGCTCCTTTTCCAACGGTTATTGCTGCTAGTTAGCCAGTTGCTTGAGTCAGTGCGGCCGCGGTATACTATTGAGGTTGTCCTCTTCGGCTCGTTTAGAAAAGCGCGACCGACGACGATAACGTACGGCCAGACAACTTTCTAACAATTTATCCTATCATTACACTCCACCAATGTTACCATATTTCGATAAAAGTTTTTCAAAAGTATTTGTACCTGTTGTTTAGATGGCTTGCAGTCGTTTTCCCAGGGCTGTGTCGCTTCGCCGATAACCCTCCTTTCGATACAATGTTGAATTACTTCGCGTGTGCGCGCTGGGGGGAGGGGTGGCGGGGACGAGCGTGAGCCACGCCTGCGCGTGCACGTTACATGAGTATGTCTCTCGGTTTGAGAGTCGGTTTCGATGAGCATCCAAACCGTTTTGATGTTGTTTTTACATAATAGTTGCATTAAAAAACTTTTTCCAAACAAAAAAAATGCAAGAAAGGACCCAAGGAGTGGACAGGTGCTCAGTTGGTAGAGCATGGCGCTTGCATACACATTTAAATGTTCGTCATTTAGCAGACGCTCTTATCCAGAGCGACTTACAAATTGGTGCATTCACCTTATGATAGCCAGTGGAACAACCACTTAACCATTTTTATTTTTTTTTCACGCCAAGGCTCTTTGCACTCTGGGAGGAGGACACAACGGAGTTGTCAACCGTGATGGCGAGATCATGGAACGGGCAGTCCTTCCCCGGGAGGAAGAGCAGCTCCGTCTTGCCGAGGTTTAGCTTGCAACGCCAGGGTTGTGGGTTCGTTTCCCACGGGAGGCCAGTATGAAAAATGTATGCACTCACTAACTGTAAGTCGCACTGGATAAGAGCGTCTGCTAAAATGACGTAAATGTAAATGGTAACGCAGGTGTCCTAAGGCAAGCTCAGGGAGGACAGAAACCTCCCGTGGAGCAGAAGGGCAAAAGCTCGCTTGATCTTGATTTTCAGTATGAATACAGACCGTGAAAGCGAGGCCTCACGATCCTTCGCTTTATGTTGGGGCCTAGTTAAAAAACTAAAATATCAAATATCAACTCAATATTCAAAATAATTTACTTAATAGCTGTCCCTCAATTCCATGTCACTGGTGTTACCACTGAGGGGTGTTACCCTTTATTTAAAAAAAGACTTTGAAAAAATGCAACTGTTTGGCAACTTCTTCCTGGGTCAAAGGTTCATTGGAGCCAGGGCTGTTTTGAAAAGCACTCTGTTTGGCAAGTTCTTCCTGGGGCTTAGAGTGCATAGAGAGAGAGTTTGATGTGCATGCAGGAAGGGAGAGAGAAGAGAGGTTGGGAGGCAGAGAGTTTACTGAGGACCCACCACTGACGCACGTCCAGAGACCCGCTGAAATTCAAAGTGTAGTTGGAAAGGGGTCAAATAAACAAAGTCTCTGCAGATCAGATTGCGACATGATGGGCGCAGACAGCCAGTAATGTTGACAAACGAAGGTGGATTGGCATTCGGCCCGAGTTAAGTAGGAGGAGAAATTGCGTCCCTAGACAAAGCAAGAACTAGATGTATGTCTGGAGAAGTGCAGTACTATCATAAGGAGAGTTATACTTGGAATACGGAGGACGAATGGAGGGAAGAAGAGAGGCAGAGGAGGTCTAAGAGAGAGAGGGAGGAAGAGGGTGAGCTTGAGTCAGTAAAAAAATGGCAGGAAAAAGGGAGATGGTTTGTTAAAGAAGAATGGTAGAAAGTGTAAGCAGAGTGAGTTGACAGGAGGAGAAATGGAAGTGAATGAGGGCGAGGTATCGGAGGTGGTAGGTGTGGTGAAGTTCTCAGAGCCCGAGGTTTGCACCGAGGGTCAGGATAAAGAGGAGTCTGTGACAACAGGAGTGATGTTTTTGGAAAAAGTGGACCCTTGCCTTTTGGCTGATCCATTTGTGGTTTCAGGGTGGGTGTAAACAGAGTTGGGTGCTGTGGAATCGGTGAGGGTAACCAGAAGTGGTCTAGTGATAATTGTTTGTGTTTCTGCTAGTCAGAGGGAGCAGGCGCTCCGTGTTAAACAAATGGGGGCAAGAAATGTGAATTGTTTTGCTCTCAAGAAAAGTGCGCCATTGAAAGGCGTGATTACTGGGGTAGCGGTAAATGTGAAAGCTGACCAACTGAAGGGGAAGATTCCCGGTGTTTGTGATGCTCGTCGTTTGGTTCGATACAGACAGGGGGGCATGAGTGGAGAAACAGAAGAGTCATAGTCTGTTCTTTTGAGTTTTGAGGTTGAGTCTTTGCCCGACAAAGTCATGTTAGGATATATAAGTTATCTGGTACAAGCTTTTGTGCCGAATACATTACGTTGTTACAGGTGTCAAGATTATGGGCATGTGGCAGCAGTGTGTAGGAGGGAGGTTCCACCTCTGGCCTGCTGTGTTCATCCACCTCTGGCCTGCTGGCCCCCCTACCTCTGCGGAAGCACAGTTCCCGCTCAGCCCAGTCAAAACTGTTCACTGCTCTGGCACCCCAATGGTGGAACAAGCTCCCTCACGACGCCAGGACAGCGGAGTCACTCACCACCTTCCGGAGACACTTGAAACCCCACCTCTTTAAGGAATACCTGGGATAGGATAAAGTAATCCTTCTACCCCCCCTTACCCCACCCCAAAGAAGAAAAGAAAAAAATACATATTGTAAAGTGGTTATCCCACTGGCTATAAGGTGAATGCACCAATGATGTTTCCACCCCCATGCTTCACAGTAGGTATGGTGTTCCTTGGATGCAACTCAGCATTCTTTGTCCTCCAAACACGACGAGTTGAGTTTTTACCAAAAAGTTATATTTTGGTTTCATCTGACCATATGACATTCTCCCAATCCTCTTCTTGATCATCCAAATGCACTCTAGCAAACTTCAGACGGGCCTGGACATGTACTGGCTTAAGCAGGGGGACACGTCTGGCACTGCAGGATTTGAGTCCCTGGCGGCGTAGTGTGTTTGTTACTTTGGTCCCAGCTCTCTGCAGGTCATTCACTAGGTCCCCCTGTGTGGTTCTGGGATTTTTGCTCACCGTTCTTGTGATCATTTTGACCCCACGGGGTGAGATCTTGCGTGGAGCCCCAGATCGAGGGAGATTATCAGTGGTCTTGTATGTCTTCCATTTCCTAATAATTGATCCCACAGTTGATTTCTTCAAACCAAGCTGCTTACCTATTGCAGATTCAGTCTTCCAAGCCTGGTGCAGGTCTACAATTTTGTTTCTGGTGTCCTTTGACAGCTCTTTGGTCTTGGCCATAGTGGAGTTTGGAGTGTGACTGTTTGAGGTTGTGGACAGGTGTCTTTTATACTGATAACAAGTTCAAACAGGTGCCATTAATACAGGTAACAAGTGGAGGACAGAGGAGCCTCTTAAAGAAGAAGTTACAGGTCTGTGAGAGCCAGAAATTTTGCTTGTTTGTAGGTGACCAAATACTTATTTTCCACCATAATTTGCAAATAAATTCATAAAAAATCCTACAATGTGATTTTCTGGATTTTTTTCCCCTCAATTTGTCTGTCATAGTTGACGTTTACCTATGATGAAAATTACAGGCCTCTCTCATCTTTTTAAGTGGGAGAACTTGCACTATTGGTGGCTGACTAAATACTTTTTCTCCCCACTGTAATTGGAGCCAGGGCTGTCTTGAAAAGCAGATGTTGCATTTGCACTATCTCTTCACATGTTAGCAATTTCATGATTAATTTGGTAATTTCACTGGTGTTACAGTTTATAGTAAGGGGAAAGGACATTTTATTAAAATAATTGATCAAATCACATGTTCAAGTGATTTATTTTGAATTTAGGAAGTGTGGTTTGAGAGACTGTGGCCCCCATTTTAGCTATGCCATCTGCAGATGTCACTGGTGTTACTGTTCCTGCTGGTGTTAGAAGAGTTTTAATAGTGTTACAGGTCACTGGCGTTACACAATATAACTTTACACATACCTGTTTAAAGTAAATTACTAATCACTAAAAAAATATATTATAATTAACCTTTGTCTTTCATTATATATGCAAATTAAAGTCAAATTACATTCCAGAAAGCCTGAATTGTCATCTAAAATATAGGTAACACCAGTTTAAAAAAGGCTGCATAAGCATTTTTTTAAATGTAAAATATATAAAAATACAGTACCCTGTCATGTTGATTTGTTAAAAAAAGAAACAGTCAGGTAACAGTTAAGTAGGCTGATAAAAAAAAATAATCCTAGAACAACCAATTTGAACTAGCCTTATCACAAATATCAGAAGTCAAGCTAGATCAATAATTAATATTTCTAATAGGCATTAGTCACAGTTACCTAAATAAGGCAATGTGGAGTACCCCTGGGAAAAGTTTGTCAGTTCAAAGCCCTTCATGCCATACAATGAAACAGCAGTAGATTATCACAGACTGTGCTAACTGCTCCATCTAGCGGCACACTTGAGGGGCAAGCAAGCAGCACCCTAAATAAATATCAGCTGAAATTTACTCTACTAGTACTACCCAGTGTTGCAAAAAGACAATTTATTGTTACATTTCATATAATCGTTTTTTATTTAATATAGAGATAAACAAATATATCTGCAACTAAAGAGGAAACTGCAATGGCCACAGTAGAAAGAGAAACACCATTAGTGGAAATCCGGGGAAACTGTCCTGTGTACGGACAATCTGTGAAAACCAAGCCTTGAGTCACCACCAACAAATTAAACAGAACTGCATCAGTATTGGCATCATTCACCACACCTAAACATTTCCGGTCGATCCACACAAACAGGTACTGTCCACAAGCGTTAACAAACCTCATAAATACAGTACATGCATTAGATTAAGAGTGCAGTTCTTATCTTAACCAACATTATCTTAACCAACACGACAGATTAATAGGGGGAAAACAAGCATTTAGACAGGCATCCCAATTCTGATCTTTTTTCCACTAATTGGTCTTTTGACCAATCACATCAGCGCTTTTTCAGAGCTGATCTGATTGGTCGAAAGACCAATTAGTGAAAAAAAGTTTAGAATTGGGATGCCTGTCTAAGGCTGCGTTTTGACCAATCAGATCTGAAAAATATCTGATGTGATTGGTTAAAAGACCAATTAGTGGGAAAAAATATCTGAATTGGGCTGCCTGTGGGAACATAGCCAAAGAAACAAAGAAGAGATTGACAAAATGTTCCTTGGGGAGAAGAGAGCCTGTCAAGACTGTATTGCTGTCATTGTCAAAAGCTCCTGAATTTTCAGGCCAAACCAGTGAGAAATGACAGGAAACCACAGTGTAAACCATCTAGTGCTCTCCCTCTCCCTGTTACACACTCATTCACCTAAATCCTAACACACACAATAAAACTTGCTGGCCAGAAAAACAATATTCTGACAGAACTCAAATTAACAGAATGAACAAAGAGGAAGACACACCCACATCACCTTTATTCTATTATGGCTATGGTTCCCCTCTAGTAATCCAACTCTGACTCAGAGTAGTTGAGATTATCTGAAAATCACCTCAAGAATTCAGAGCAAAAGTAAACCCCTCAAAACAGGTACAGGAAACGCATCATCATCCACAGAGCAACTTGTCAAATTATCAGGTTTCCCACAAATGTAGGAAACATTTGAAAACAGATCTAACAGTGGTAAAACAGCTATGGGGTAAACCTAGACCCATTTCAGTTTTTCAGTGATGAAGAGAAAGATGTAGAGGACCTTGAAAATTAAACACCCATCAGGACAAAAGGATGACCTAGAAAACCACTGAGAATCTGAGTCTGTCTGCTGAAAGCTTACTCTGGGACAATAGTAACACACAGCAACAGATGGGGAGTTTGCCAAGAGTCTCTGCTCCAGTCTAAGTGTCTCAGTCACAAAATCTGGGAGCCAGATGAGCAGCAGGTGTGGAGTAGATGTCTTTAGGGGCAAAAGAGCTTTACGAAACACTGTGTACACCCATTCAATACTTTATTCAGGAGAGACGCGAAGTGGTAGGGAGAGTCCAATGTGTTTGTACATTGCATTAACGTTTCAATGGACATATGCGGGCGGGGCCGGGGGAGCGATGGGTCCGTGATGGTATCTGTGTACAACTTCGGGGAGTCCGAGACCGTAAAACTGATAGGCATGACAATGTTGATAGTGTCAAACTGCTACTGCTAATGTATGTGTGTAGTCACTGTAGTGTATGCTAGTCAAAACTAAGTATGACTGAGTGTATATCAGTGTATCTGTTATGAGCGGGAGGGGGCGTCTTCAAAGCTGATGATGCTGGACTCCTGTCCTGTGGTGTTCTGGGAGCCGCTAGACCCCCCTGCTGGCGACGTTCTCTCCTGTCCCGAGAGCAGCGGGGTGTCGGTCCGAACTTCATCCTCATTGTCTTCCTCTTCGTCGTCCATGCTTGGCCAGGTCGACTGGTCCTCCACCTTCTTCAGTCGCTCGTTTAGGGCCTTCAGCGCCAACTGCCTGTAAGACAATCAGAAAGAGTGAGTTATAAAATAAACAGTGTCTGCCCATTCCCAAGCAAGGGCAAGGCTGAGCAAATGTTTGCATTACATCATTGTATAGTAAGTGTTTTGGAGTCCCTTTCATACAGCCACTGATCCTCTCCAGGTGACGATACAGTATGTAGGCCTAACTGCCGTCTATGTAAACGAGGACATACGAGTGTATGCATGACAGCTTGCAAGTGTGTCAACCACAAAATGAAGTATGAGGTAAACAAATCTTGGTAAATGGATGCCTGTGTGTTTGTGTGTTTATTTGGGCCTCTCGAGCACTCACCTCCTCCTCTCTGCGTCCTGGGGGTCCGTCCCTGGCAGACTGATGGTGATGGAAGAAGGTGCACCTACGTCGTAGCGCTTCACCATTTTCCTGCACACCTTGATCTTCACCAGGGCTGCGTGCACCAGGCCAGCCAGCAGCCCCACCACCGGCTGTACCACTTCAGGGAAGAAGGAGGCAAAGGCAAAGTGGTCTGACATGTCCCCGCGGCCCCGGCTGTGCCTCTGGTAGAAGCGCAGGTAGACCCAGCCTGCCAGGGCACCAAAGCTGTAGGCCGCCAGTGAGGCGGCACTCTCCAGCAGGCCTGAGAGGCGGAGTAGGGACAGGCAGAGGAGGACCAGTGCCGGGGCAGCTTTGAGCCTCACCTGCGGAACCCGCAGCACCGTCGTATCCCCCATGGTCTGCTTAAGGGCCACCAACACCCCCCCGAGGAAGGCTGGTGCCCCATGGACACGCACCGCAAATAGGTAGTCCAGGTCGAAGGTGACGACATACGTGAGCAAGTAGGAGAGGCCAGCCAGGAGGCCTGCAGAGATGTTGACCACAGTAAAAAAGATGAGCAGCTCCAAGGCGCCCCATAGAGGCTCCAACAGCCGGCCACAGGCCATAACAGTCCCTACGTTGGCTGCCACTCCCCACACATGCTGCTCCACCACGGCATGGGTCACCAGGGTCCAGATCCAGAAGTTAGGGGGGAAGAGGTAGCCAGGCGTCACGCCCAGGGCATATGGAGTGTCAACTGCCCATGAGAGCAGGTACAGAAGGAGCACTATGGCACTTATGGACTTCACCACAACGCTCGTATTGGCTAATGCGCCCAAGAAGTGCTGTCGTGCAACTGGCAGATAGCGATTCATTGTGCCGTTTGTCAGTCTTCCGCAAGAGCCGATGAGTAAATTTGTATGACCTGCAGCTGCTCACGTGCTGGCCTTTTTTTTTTTTTTAATCAGCAGTGCCAAGAAGAACACACGAAATCAGCAGATCCAGACAACATCCACGCTCTACAGTGAGGATTCATCCGGGAAATAATCTGATTAATCAATGCTAATTAATGGTTTAAATTAACCTTTTATGGTCTCACTGTTCAAAACACTTGCTGGAGCAACTTTCCTATGACCTTTGCTGAAGTTATCTTGTTAGTGATTAGATAAGAGTAGTTGGGTTAACGTACCTAACGAACGTTAGATAAGTTGCTAGCTGACACATTTAGCAACATGCCAATTACTCTCAATTGACAATGAACGGTGTCATACTCGAAGTTTACATACAATTTAACTTCCCAAATATTAAATAGCTACTTGTCTTTCGAAATCATACCAAAAATACCCAGAACGTCAACCAGCTAACGCTAGCTAGCTAATAAACGTCATCAGCTTGCTGGCTAGAAAGCACTGTGGAGTAAGTAGTTAGCCTAGCTAGCTAGTTAATGCTAACTAGTTAGGGAAGAAGTCCGATTGTTACGACGTTTTAAATCCACCATTGGAATTCATGAGATGATCAGTCTCCATTTGATAAATGGGTTTGAGTTGTATAACTAGAGAAACTATAAAAAAAATCAGTACCAGCGCCTCTTTTTTTCTCGCCTCGGCACACAGACTAAATTAGTCCACCAGCTAGCTAACGTTAGAGGATACCCTGCGTTAGCTAGCAACAGGCCGTCAAAACAATGTTGTCGAGGCAAACAACAATTGGAGATTCACGCTTAATTAATTAAGTCTTCACGGTTTCAGAAATGTAAGAAAGTCTCTTGGGTTACTTAAACGTTATTCCGATATAAAGCAACAGATGTATTCGCGAATATTTGTTCTCTTGTGAGGCACTCCCAGCATTTCATACTGACCAACAACGCGTGCGCTGCCAGTGCCACCGTCACCAACACACACGAAGCGTCAAGTCACGCCAGCTTGGTGCACTGGATGATTATGGGAAACATAGTTTTTTTGTTGTTGCTAGATCCCCGAGCTCCATGTGGTAGGGCAGCCTATGGGTCATGGATAACTTTTTTTTATGTTTTCAAAATCTCCTCAAGCATCGATTCAAGAGACAAAACAATTATTTTCAACATTAATTTTATTCAGTAATTAATTGCCATAAAAAAAGATAACAAATAATTCACATTTATCAGGCGTGAAAAAAAGAAAAAAAAACCTGACATCAGAATGCTACAAGAATCAAACTTCACAGACATAGAGCACAGCAAAATCTGATCTGAAATCAAACTAAAATAACGTTAATAGCTCACTGGCAGAAAATGCAAAGTGGGTAATGGTTGGCTACCGCAGAAGCCCAAGTGAGTGACCTTTGACTGGCTAAGAACAATGGTGCATATGCAAGTAAGCATTTCGTTGGACGATGTATACTATGTGTATCCTGTACATACGACTAATAAAACTTGAAACAAACTTCAAACTGTCCTCTGTGAAGATATCCATACAAATGTAACACACCCTCAAACAACACAATCATGTGCAAAGTAAACACTATTAAAATGACCATGTCCACTTAGTGATGAAAACATGAGACTAAAATTCTATTGAGATCCAGATGAGACATGCAAGGATCTGGGATGCCTCAGTGGAATTATGCTTATGGAGAACAAGCGTGCTAGCCACACGCTGGATACAATTGTACTGCTCTGATGTTTGTGTTTCAAATGTCAATGTCATCATTTTAGAATATTGATAAAATTCTCTCTGAATAACAGTTCTGCTTCTACAGAATCAAAGACAAACCCCTGATACAGTGAGGTTAAACCATGAGCATGCAAATGGTGGTGAGGGGGACAATTTGTCTGAACCAAATACATGTGAATGCTTGACTTATGTAAAGGCCAAGGGTAGGCAACTCAAACACTGAAAGCCTTCAATCAAAAATGCAAACATGAATATCCAAGCTACTATGACATGTAAGAGGACACAAACTGGCCCAGATAACCAGGGTAGTGTAACGTAGATAGTCCCACATCTCTGCCTGCATCTAACATTCCCAAGGCGTTAAAACATTACAATATAGATCAGAGGGCAACACAGAGCTACAACACCAAAGAGCGGTAAACAAGTCAAGGGACATCCAGTCCGCTATGGCCAAGTTTCATGGAATAAGCAGCCATCATGGAATTCCTTTTACATGTTAAGATACTGTATGTTGAGTCCATTTAAAATTCGTATTTATTTTTCAAATAAGTATCATAATGAGTAGATAAAAGCACTTGTTTCCAAATACAATTGAACAGACTCTGCTTGCATAGCTAATGATGAAATCTAAGGCTTGTAAGTAATTAAAGCAACTGTCCAGTGAAAATCTCACTTTTAAAAGTTCATATTCTGTTAACTCATACACATGTCCAAAACATACATTGGAGGAAAAAAACAACACTTAAAACCCCACCTCAAACTTGTATCTCAAACAAACAGTTTAAAATCTGGAAACACTGGACAGTTACTTTAAGATACAATTGGTAAAGTCTATGTAAATCATTTCAGTTTCATAGTCAAAACATGTAATCATCAACTTGAAGGCTTGCAGACAGCTCATTTCACCAAAGCTAATGTAAACACTAAAAGCATGCAATAGACAACTATGTATTCATTCTAAATACAGAACAGTAAACCAGTCTCTGTGTAATGATATCAGTTCTGTTTGAACCTGTTTGTTGCTATGGATTGTCGTCTAGGACAGGAGATTGAGTTGCTGACAGCTAACTCAATTTTGCCCTCTTCATCTGATTTTAGCGAATGTCATCTGATGGACATGTCTCTAGACCATATGTTCAGTTTCAGACACAGTGTCTATTCCCCCCCAACCAAGTTGAAAAGGACATCAGTTTAGTGAAATAGTTACTTATGTTCAACTAGTGCTTGAGAATCTGTGTGATAAATTAGAGTTACTGTTTGTATTAAAGTAAATGAAATTGAAATGCCATTCAAAACAGGATTTGTTTATTTTATTTAGAAACTTCAAAAAATATATCTAAAAGCCATCCATTGTTACATGTCCATTCACTAACTACATACAGGCTTTTCTAGCCATTCTCCTCAAGACATCAGCTTGAGTTTACTAAATGGAATTAAGACAGTCAGTTGGTTGCCGACTGAATTGACTTATAAATAAATACTTAAATTCAAGTAGAAATCTATGGGAAAAAAGCAGTTGGTACAACAACCGAAGACTAATGACTACTGAGGGAACTACCTTTAATTTGCCATTAGGATAGATAGATTCACATGAACATCTAGATGATATGAACATAAACAAAAACAAAAGCACTGGATGACATTTTCTCTCAGCTAATGAGTGGTTTCACCACCTTGACTGGTTGGTCCTGAAATTCACACATGTCTATTAATATCAAATTTCTCAAGTCATGTAACACAAGAATCGCCGTGTTCTAGTAAACAAACATAAAAATCCCCCTTACAAAAACAGAACAAAAAAGTACAAAAATAAAAAATACAAATGAATAAATATGTACTGTTATAAATAAAAGTGGTAAATTCAAACATTGAAAAAATAAAATAACAGGTCAACTAACAACTTAAGTATGGTATGAAAAGATGAACAAGTCTGATGATGTAAGGGTCTCATAATAAAATGCAAGAACTGGAGTTTAAAGCTCTTACTGAAGAGACTCAAGGCTGGGGACTTGGTGGAGGAGGTGGGCTGGGCTTCCCTCTTCCCAAAGTGTTGGGTAGTTGCCGCGTTCACATGCTAGTCGGAACTAAGAAAGTCAGACATTTCCAACTTGCTAATTGGTTGTAGTTATACACCGTTCAACCAGTTAGCAAGTTGGACATTTCTGAGCTTCCTAGTTCCGACTAGCACGTGAACGCGGCATGAGACAGTAGGCAGCCTACGTATGTAATGAGGGGGGCAGTAACACAGTCAGCAGTAACAGAAATTAAAAGTTATGTTGTTTATTAAACAGAACCAGGTCACATACCTGACTCCCCCCTCAGTAAATCAATGTACCGGTACTTTGAATACTATAAACTTTGTTATTCAGTGAAGTCTTAAGCCAGTATCATCTTTACAATGAGCTCACTAAGTCTATAATGACAAACTGTGACCAAATTAGGGAAAGACACCCTCTTCTCTAGGCCAATAGCAGTTGACGGTGATGTTTGGTCGCATTAGAGAATGATCCTCTCTGGAGAGTACTTTAAGTTGTACTTTTTTTGGCACAGCTATTATTGACTTCCCTCAAATTATTTTGGTTTGACAATGACCTTTTGTTTGTTTTTCCGTTGAAATCACATATGCCAGAGATGAGAAAAGGGAACAGAAAACAAGTGTTCATGCTATCCACAAGGCAGAGTGAGTCATTATGACAGAAGTTCTCTACTCTAGAACCCATGGGTACACAACACAGAAAGGGAAGTAGACAGGTGACCCACCTGACCACTAGAGGGGTCATGGGTTATATTTGCATCACTTAGCAAAGCTACAGTAAGACTATGGGTGAGATCCAGGTCCTAGGATTGCCCGTCTCGCTGTTTCTCTACACCCACTAGGTAACATTCAGAGAGACAGAGGCAAGGCATTTTCAATTCAGCTCCCTTTGGACAGTTGGAGCTTAGCAAGAACATCATTTTCACATCGTCACCTATAGACAGGCAATCAATTTGAAAAATGTAGAAGATATCAAAAATGGAAATCAGATCTTCCCAAGTGTGATGCCTGTCCCCAAGGTCTGCGTTAAAGGCGTAAATAAGCGTACATTCTTTGAGTTTAAGGTTTTTGACTTTTCGTTTTTCACCCAACAAAGAGCCTAACTGTTTCTTTGAATTCAGTCTCAAGTAGTCCATTTTCTGATTATGATAACATTTCTCAAAAAACGAAACACAGCACTCCTGGCTGGCAGTAAATTCAAGGGCAAATCAAATCGATTTTGAAAACAGTTGTGACATGTTTAGAGCACGACTACTATGTAAAATAATATTCAGTAGCAAATAATGACAATCAAGAACAATATTATGTAACTGATATGTTGCGCCATACAATAATTACTACCAACTATGTATATGAAATTGACTTATTAACTCTAGTCTATTGTCAGTTAGTTATTAACCTAGTCTGTCATCAACTGTTGGAAAAATGATTTTTTTTAAATAGAAGACAAAACAGCACATCCCAGTGGCGAATCAGGGTCTTTGCAGTTCCAAACCCAGCAGTTGCTCGCTTCAGTGATTTGTAAAAGCCAGTATAGGACAACATTTTGGAAGCCCCAAGTTCGTTTTCTTTATCATATACACTCAGTTTTTTCTTTTTTTCCCCTTTTTAAATAAGATATTCAGCATAAGGATTTGTTGCTTTGTCCAGTCTGTTATATCCCAATACAGATTCTCCTTTTCTGAAAGGCGTGCATGTTGCACTTGGGATGGGGAATAGGGCTAGTGGAGGTGGATGGGGATTGGTTGTCCTTTCCCTTTCTCTCCAGCTCTCCTAGCCCCAGAAAACCCACTAACTGTCCCCTACAACCCACATGCCTCTTCCCTACGGTTGGAGGCTCTCATTGTCCCATCACCTCAATAACATCATCATCATCATCATCATCGTCGTTGTTGCTGTCTGAGCTGCTACCACCGGCGTTCTCTGCCGAGCCGTGGGCATCAGAGCGACCCAGCCCCGCCCCCATCAGGCCGGAGGAGGAGGGGAAGTGGGAGAAGAAGCTGGAGCCAGTGGGGCCTGGGGTGGCCGCCGGTAGCCCCCCGGGGAGCAGCAAGCTAGGGTACATGCCCAGGGACTGGCCGTAGGACATGGGGAAGCCTGGGGGCAGCATGCCAGCCATACCAGCACCCAGCATGAAGGGAGCTAGGGAGGCCGAGTCAGAGGCAGCTGAGGAGGAGGAGGTGGTGGTGGAGGAGGAAGACCTGGAGGAGGAGCTAGAAAGGGTGCCGCCCCCCAAGCCGAAGGGGTCGGGAGTCATGGGGAACATGAGACTGTGGTCACTCCGCTGGCTGTGGGGCTGGAAGTAGGGAGAGCCGGCCCCCAAGAATATGGGGTGCCCCACGGAGCCCAGCATGGCTTGGTTGAGGCCCATGGGTGGGAGGTCATAACCCGTCGTGAAGGGAAAAGCCTGGGCCGAGGTGCGCTTGCTGGGGGCCGGCTGCTTTTTATTGGCCCGTTCGACGGTGGACAGGGTGGAGGCCTTGCGCTTGGTGCCCCTCAGGTCCAGGGCAGCAATGGCATCTGTGCTGCGCTGGGCCGTGGCGGAGGCATCGCTCCAGGGCTTGGCATGGCTGGTCATCCTGCTGCCATTGGTGCTCTCCGCCGGCGCCTTCTCCTGTGGAGCCGCTGCACCTGCAGACAAAGCCTTGGAGCCCTGCTGATGCTGGGCCTTGGTTCTGGTTGCAGCCGCGTACCTCTGGAGCTCACTCAGGATCTCAGGGCTGTCGGGGGAGAGCGGGCGAGTCACACAGCCGTTGGTGGAGGCCTCGTCCGATGCCTTCTGGGTGTCTGAGGTAGGGAAGGTAAGACAGACGGGTCAGATACTTCTCTACGCTAACAGAAACCATCAGCACTGGATAAAAACAGATCTATATGGACCAAATGAGTAGAATCTATACTGACTAAAGGTTGAGTTGCTACCTTTGGGTGCAGCGGCTGAGTTCTCCTCCCCTGCCTTGGGCTTGCTTGCAGCGCGGATGGCAAATATCCTCCCATCACAAGTCCTGATGTAGGTCCCTTTGGTTCCTCTGATGATGTGGATGCTCTCTCCTGCACTGATCCTGGCCTTGACATCAGTTGAACTGTTGGTTTCAGGTATCACGATATCTGTGGTGGTGACGATCTTCTGGACGAAGACGCCCGCCTTCTGCAGGTAGTTGACGGGAAAGCCCGAGCTGGAGTCTGAGTCTGCTATGGGGGCAGAGCTGTGAGATGCCTGGCGAGGCATCATGGGAATTGGAGTCGACTGAACGGGGCGGACGCTGGCCACCGGCTTCTCATCTTGCCGAGGGGGTGGGCGCCTGAAGGGGGGCAAGGGAGAGGAAAGATGAGAGGGTTAAATATTTTATCAACAGTTTAAACTTTGGAATTCAAAACTTGGTGTCACATTAGGCATCTCTCTGTATGTCTCCCTAGGACCATGCCTCGAGACACCCTGACATGACGATTCCTGGCAGTCCCCAGCCCACCTGGTCGTGCTGTTCTGCCTTCAGCTGTGGAACCGAATGATTCAACCGGGAGTGCTACCTTGTCCCGAACCTGTTGTTCTAGGTTTCTTCCTTTTAGGGAGTTTTTCCTAGCCACTTTGCTTCTGCATTGCTTGCTAGTCTGGGTATCTGATGTAAAAGGGGCTTTACAAAACACATTTGATTGATTGACTGTTTGCAATTGTAGTATTGTTACTGAGAAAATTTACTGATCTGGTGAAAACAGGAACTAAAATCGTGTCTGTCTTTGGGGACCATCTCACCAGTTGCGCTGGCTGAAGGCAGGGATGTTTGTAAGGCTCTGGTCGCTGGCGGGGTAATAGTGGGCGTAAGAGGGGCGTGTGTAGGGCACCGACGCACGCTTCTCATCCTCGTAGCTTTCTTGGCGGCCTTCTTCTCGGCTTTGGTGAGTTTCATCTCCCGTCGGTCCACCAGGAGAGACTCGTGGTGAAAGGGTTGCTGGAGAGACAGACATAGAGAGCAATTTCACTCAAACTACTCTCCAAGTATAATATGCCGTCATGTAGGTTATAATTCTGGATAGAACTGTTAATAAAGTGGCATGTTGATGAGAGTGAGAGTTCAATGTGGAAATGATGGGTTGAAACAGAGTCTGTCCATGATTCAGTGAGCTAGGTGTATGTATCATGTGGATGAGTATCAACTTTCATACAGCCAAGGAGTAGACAGTATAGATGTACATATCTATATACACACATCATACTGTACATCTAGTATAGGTCTAACCTTGGTAACCAGGTGTGGGTAGAGTGTATAATACAGTATGGTGTGCATATAGACATGTACTCTACCAGTCAAACGTTTGGACACACCTACTCATTCAAGAGTTTTTCTTTATTTTCACTATTTTTTACATTGTAGAATAATAGTGAAGACATCAAAACTATGAAATAATACATACGGAATGATGTAGTAACCAAAAAAGTGTTAAACAAATCAAAATATATTTTATATTTGAGATTCTTCAAATAGCCACCCTTTGCCTTGATGACAGCTTTGCACACTCTTGGCATTCTCTCAACCAGCTTCATGAGGTAGTCACCTGGAATGCATTTCAATTAACAGGTGTGCCTTCTTAAAAGTTAATTTGTGGAATTTCTTTCCTTCTTAATGCGTTTGAGCCAAACAGTTGTGTTGTGACAAGGTAGGGGGGGTATAGAGAAGATAACCCTATTTGGTAAAAGACCAAGTCCATATTATGGCAAGGACAGCTCAAATAAGCAAAGAGAAACAACAGTCCATCATTACTTTATGACATGAAGGTCAGTCAATACAGAACATTTCAAGAACTTTGTTTCTTCAAGTGCAGTCACAAAAACCATCAAGTGCTATGATGAAACTGGCTCTCATGAGGACCGCCACAGGAAAGGAAGACCCAGAGTTACCTCTGCTGCAGAGGATAAGTTCATTAGAGTTACCAGCCTAAGAAATTGCAGCCCAAATAAATGCTTCACAGAGTTGAAGTAACAGACACATCTCAAATCAACTGGTCAGAGGAGACTGTGTGAATCAGGCCTCCATGGTCGAATTGCTGCAAAGAAACCACTACTAAAGGACACCAATAAGAAGAAGAGACTTACTTGGGCCAAGAAACACGAGCAATGGACATTAGTCCTTTGATCTGGATTCCAAATTTGAGATTTTACATTCCGCTGTGTCTTTGTGAGACGCGGTGTGGGTGAACGGATGATCTCCGCATGTGTATTTCCCACCGTAAAGCATGGAGGAGGAGGTGTTATGGTGTGGGGGTGCTTTGCTGGTGACACTGTCTATGATTTATTTAGAAGTCAACTTAACCAGGATGGCTACCACAGCATTCTGCAGCGATACGCCATCCTATCTGGTTTGGGCTTAGTGGGACTATCATTTGTTTTTCAACAGTACAATGACCCAACACACCTCCAGGCTGTGTAAGGGCTATTTTACCAAGAAGGAGGGTGATGGAGTGCTGCATCAGATGACCTGGCCTCCACAATCCCCTGACCTCAACCCAATTGAGATGGTTTGGGATGAGTTGGATCACAGAGGGAAGGAAAAGCAGCCAACAAGTGCTCAGTATATGTGGGAACTCCTTCAAGACTGTTGGAAAAGCATTCCAGGTGAAGCTGGTTGAGAGAATGCCAAGAGTGTGCAAAGCTGTCATCAAGGCAAAGGGTGGCTATTTGAAGAATCTCAAATATAAAATATATTTTCATTTGTTTAACACTTTTTTGGTTACTACATGATTCCATATGTGTTATTTCATAGTTTGTAGAAAATACAATGTAGAAAATAGTAAAAATAAAGAAAAACCCTGGAATGAGTAGGTGTCCAAACTTTTGACTGGTACTGTATATACCTTGGTGACGAGGTGAGGGTAGAGCTGACAGGCCTGTGATGTAGTGTGTGTATATAGGTGTGTGGTTACCTTGGTGACGAGGTGAGGGTAGAGCTGACAGGCCTGTGATGTAGTGTGTGTTTATAGATGTGTATATAGGTGTGTGGTTACCTTGGTGACGAGGTGAGGGTAGAGCTGACAGGCCTGTGATGTAGTGTGTGTTTATAGATGTGTATATAGGTGTGTGGTTACCTTGGTGACGAGGTGAGGGTAGAGCTGGCAGGCCTGTCTGATGCCCGTCTCCATCTCCTGGTGGGGCTGTAGTTGCACCTGTGACACGTCAGGCTCCTCCTCCACAAAGTGCAGCAGAGACTCCACCTCCCTCCGCGTGAACGACAGCACCGGGTTCAGGTCATCCACCACTCGGTCTTCAGAAAAGAGAGAGGGATGGTGTGAAGAGAGGGGGTTACACTGTGTGTCTAGGGCCATCAACAGCTACATGAAAAGGTCTCTGCGTGTGACATGAAACGTGGCATACAGCATACCCTGGCCATGTCTATTTTATTTTTCAACTCAATTCTAAGAGTGTGGGCCTTCCCTTTTTGTGTATACAGCATAGCTGAAATTGGAGCGGACCAATATGTGTGACATTTACATTTTTACATTTTAGTCATTTAGCAGACGCTTTTATCCAGAGCGACTTACAAATACATATACCTGCTTTTTTCGTACTGGTCCCCCGTGTGAATCAAACCCACAACCTTGACGTTGCAAGCGCCATGCTCTAGCAACTGAGCCAAACAACGGCAAACTATGTCAAAGCACTTTGGCCGTGGTGCACATGAAGTAGGAGTAGGAATGCACTTAGTCTGACTTCACAGGGTCTGACCGTTCAGAGGACTGCTGCACTTCACAGCACACACACTGTTTTGCATTCTAGTGAAGTGGACTGGGCCGGATGAAGTGCACTTAACAGGGTAGGCTTGTGGTAAGAGTAGATTCAAAATACTAATAGCAGATGTCCATGTAATAGTAGGCCTAGTAGACATGGCTGGAGGAAGCAGAGGTGTCTTGGTAGGCCGGAGTGTAGTCTGTATGTAGTCAGTATCCATTCTATTTTATTTCATCCTATTCTGTGTTTGTTTGGTTAGCTGGTTACTCACCGGACATGCCCTGCTTGGAGATCTGTCGGTCGTAGATCTTCTTCTCCAGGGTGAAGTCACAGACCAGGCGGTAGATGTGGCAGGGTTTCTTCTGGCCGTAGCGGTACACTCGACATACGGCCTGGGCGTCGTGACAAGGGTTCCAGGAGGCATCGAACACCACCACGCGGTTAGCCCCTATCAGGTTCACCCCCAGACAGCCAGCCCTGAGGATGGGGAGAAGCACACGTCACTGACCTGATATGTGTGTGTGTGTGTGTGTGGTGTGTGTATGTATGTATGTATGTATGTACAGTTAAGTCTGAATTTTACATACACTTAGGTTGGAGTCATTAAAACTCGTTTTTCAACCACTCCACACATTTCTTGTTAACAAACTATAGTTTTGGTAAGTCGGTTAGGACATCTACTTTGTGCATGACACAAGTAATTTTTCCAACAATTGTTTACAGACAGATTATTTCACTTATAATTCACTGTATCACAATTCCAGTGTGTCAGAAGTTTACATACACTAAGTTGACTGTGCCTTTAAACAGCTTGTACAATTCCAGAAAATGATGTCTTGGCTTTAGAAGTTTCTGATAGGCTAATTGACATCATTTGAGTCAATTGGAGGGGTACCTGTGGATGTATTTCAAGGCCTACCTTCAAACTCAGTGCCTCTTTGCATGACATCATGGGAAAATCAAAAGAAATCAGCCAAGACCTCAGCAAACAAATTGTAGCCCTCCACAAGTCTGGTTCATCCTTGGGAGCAATTTCCAAACGCCTGAAGGTACCACGTTCATCTGTACAAACAATAGTACGCAACACCATGGGACCACACAGCCGTCATACCGCTCAGGAAGGAGACGCGTTCTGTCTCCTAGAGATGAACGTACTTTGGTGCGAAAAGTGCAAATCAATCTCAGAACAACAGCAAAAGACCTTGTGAAGATGCTGGAGGAAACAGGTACAAAAGTATCTATATCCACTGTAAAACGAGGCCTATATCGACATAACCTGAAAGGCCACTCAGCAAGGAAGAAGCCACTGCTCCAAAACCGCCATAAATAAGCCAGACTACGGTTTGCAACTGCACATGGAGAAAAAAAAGATCTTACTTTTTGGAGAAATGTCCTCTGGTCTGATGAAACAAAAATAGAACTGTTTGGCCATAATGATCATCTTTATGTTTGGAGGAAAAAGGTGGTTGCTTGCAAGCCGAAGAACACCATCCCAACCGTGAAGCACGGGGGTGGCAGCATCATGCTGTGGGGGTGCTTTGCTGCAGGAGGGACTGGTGCACTTCACAAAATAGATGGCATCATGAGGAAGGAAAATTATGTGGATATATTGAAGCAACATCTCAAGACATCAGTCAGGAAGTTAAAGCTTGGTCGCAAATGGGTCTTCCAAATGGACAATGACCCCAAGCATACTTCCAAAGTTGTGGCAAAATGGCTTAAGGACAACAAAGTCAAGGTATTGGAGTGGCCATCACAAAGCCCTGACCTCAATCCTATAGAAAATGTGTGGGCAGAACTGAAAAAGCGTGTGCGAGCAAGGAGGCCTACAAACCTGACTCAGTTATACCAGCTCTGTCAGCAGGAATGGGCCAAAATTCACCCAACTTATTGTGGGAAGCTTGTGGAAGGCTACCCGATACGTTTGACCCAAGTTAAACAATTTAAAAGGCAATGCTACCAAATACTAATTGAGTGCATGTAAACTTCTGACCCACTGGGAATGTGACTAAAGAAATAAAAGCTGAAATAAATCATTCTCTCTACTATTATTCTGACATTTCACATTCTTAAAATAAAGTGGTGATCCTAACTGACCTAAGACAGGGAATTTTTACTAGGATTAAATGTCAGGAATTGTGAAAAACTGAGTTTAAATGTATTTGTCTAAGGTGAATGTAAACTTCCGACTTCAACTGTATGTACAGTTTGAAGGTAAGCCTTGAAATACATCCACGGGTACACTTCCAATTGACTGAAAGGATGTCAATTAGCCTATCAGAAGCTTCTAAAGCCATGACATCATTTTCTGGAATTTTCCAAGCTGTTTAAAGGCACAGTCAACTTAGTGTATGTAAACTTCTGACACACTGGAATTGTGATACAGTGAATTATAAGTGAAATAATCTGTCTGTAAACAAATGTTGGAAAAATTACTTGTGTATGCACAAAGTAGATGTCCTAACCGACTTGCCAAAACTACAGTTTGTTAACAAGAAATTTGTGGAGTGGTTGAAAAACGAGTTTTAATGACGCCAACGTAAGTGTATGTACATTTCCGACTTCAACTGTAAGTATGTATTTTTTTTATTTTTTTATTTAATTTTTATTGTAACTAGTGTGGTTACTAGTGTGGCTATACATAAGTATGATTACATACAAATTATAATGATTCTACCAGTGTGATCCTGTGAAGGTCTTTTACCTGGTGGACAGCAGAAAGATCAAGACGGAGGTGTTGGACGGGTCGTTGAACTGGTTGATGAGTTTCTCCCTCTCTGAAGCAGATGTGCTCCCATCCAGTCCTAAGGAGAGGAACAATAAACAAAAGATTAAATCCCTTTCTCCAACACACAGGAACAACCATTTTTTACCCACAGGCTTCATACGCAGAATGATGGAGAGATATCAATATCCCCAGCAGGTGGCGATAGTCAATGTAAGTCAATGGGAAAAGTGGCAGCATGGGATTGGGGAGGCTGAATAAGTTTGTATAGCTTCAGTAAAAGACACCACAGGACAAACGGAGTCACAGCGACGTGGTGACAGCGGTGGTTGTCATGGGAACAGGGACACTTACTGTAGTAGTTGTGGTTGCGGACCCAGTTTTGGTTGTGGCCCTCTCTGGCGCTGCCCGCCGGTATGGCCCTCTTGGCCAGGAACTCCTCAATGACCGACAGGGTGGACAAACTCTGGCTGCACGAGAGACAGTGGAGGGAGGGATACGGTGAGGAGGGGTCCTTGGAAATTACAGTCAAACTAATTCAACCATTTCAGAAGTTTGTCTGTCTATCTGTGCTTCGAGCCATAGTCTTCGAGAATATGTTGCGTTGCAACAATTGTTTTAAAGGAACTGAAAAGAAAACGTGTAAAAATTTAAGATCAAAACAGTGAACTGAGGGCCTGTTCCTGTTTCTACCTGAAGACCAGGATCTTGTCTCCCTTCCTCACACTCTGGTCGATTAGGTGGAACAGCAGGACCATCTTAGCAGAGTTCTCCAAGAGCCCGGGTTTATAGTCAGACATGATCTCCTTCGCCTGAGAGCGAGCGAGAGAGAGAGAGAGGAGGCGATGAGATAACAGTCAGAACAGTAGTGTAATTGTAGTGCACAGTTTAGGCTAATAACCTGTTTTCACTGAAACCTATGACAGTATCCGTTCTAAATGAGCAGTCCTCAAATTGTTTTCCAACCGTCATATATCCATGATGACTCAACCCCCTGCCACTTAAACTGAATGGAAAACCAAAAAACAAGGTAGTGAAGTGTGGTTGTGTACCCATTCGTAGGTGATGACCTGGTTGGCCTTCTCCTGCAGAGCGTTGAGACTCAGCCCTCCGATGCTGTTGGGGTCCTCCGGGGTCTTGCCCTTCTGGTTGGGGGCGGGGTAGCGGGCGTGGCCGTTGGTGATGTCATCCAGGTCCAGGTCCTGCTCATTGGCCAGATTCTCCTTCTGCAGCGCCTCGTACAGCACGTCTGGGTGGTTCCAGATCTGGTAGAGGAAGACATTTTTACAACATTAGGATGACGTCTGAATGAAATGTGGACATGTACACAGCATGTGATATACAGTGCATTCGGAAAGTATTCAGACCACTTGACTTTTTCCACATTTTGTTACGTTACAGCCTTATTCTAAAATGGAAATTTCCCCCTCATCAATCTATACACAATACCCCATAATGACAAAGCAAAAACAGGTTTTTAATTTTTTTGCAAATGTATTAAAAATTTCAAACTGAAATATTACATTTACATAAGTATTCAGATCCTTTACTCAGTACTTTGTTGAAGCACCTTTGGCAGCGATTACAGCCTCGAGTCTTCTTGGGTATGACGCTACAAGCGTGGCACACCTGTATTTGTGGAGTTTCTCCCATTCTTCTCTGCAGATCCTCTCAAGCTCTGTCAGGTTGGATGGGGAGCGTCGCTGCACAGCTATTTTCAGAGATATTCGATCGGGTTCATGTCCGGGCTCTGGCTGGGCCACTCAAGGACATTCAGAGACTTGTCCCGAAGCCACTCCTGCGTTGTCTTGGCTGTTTGCTTAGGGTCGTTGTCCTGTTGGAAGGTGAACCTTCGCCCCTGTCTGAGGTCCTGAGCACTCTGGAGCAGGTTTTCATCAAGGATCTCTCTGTACTTTGCTCCGCTCATTCTTCCCTCTATCCTGACTAGTCTCCCAGTCCCTGCTGCTGAAAAACATCCCCACAGCATGATGCTGCCACCACCATGCTTCACCGTAGGGATGGTGCCAGGTTTCCTCCAGACATGACGCTTGGCATTCAGGCCAAAGAGTTCAATCTTGGTTTGATCAGACCAGATAATCTTGTTTCTCATGGTCTGAGAGTCCTTTAGGTGCCTTTTGGCAAACTCCAAGCGGGCTGTTTTACTGAGGAGTGGCTTCCGTCTGGCCACTCTACCATAAAGGCCTGATTGTTGGAGTGCTGCAGAGATGGTTGTCCTTCTGGAAGGTTCTCCCATCTCCACAGAGGAACTCTGGAGCTCTGTCAGAGTGACCATTGGGTTATTGGTCACCTCCCTGACCACAGCCCTTCTCCCCCGATTGCTCAGTTTGGCCGGGCGGCCAGCTCTAGGAAGAGTCTTGGTGCTTACAAACTTCTTCCATTTAAGAATGACGGAGGCCACTGTGTTCTTGGGGACCTTCAAAGCTTTAGACATTTTTTGCTACCCTTCCCCAGATCTGTGCCTCGACACAATCCTGTCTCGGAGCTCTACGTACGGACAATTCCTTCGACCTCATGTCTTGGTTTGTTGCTCTGACATGCACTGTCAACTGTGGGACCTTATATAGACAGGTGTGTGCCTTTCCAAATCATGTCCAATCAATTGAATTTACCACAGGTGGACACCAATCAAGTTGTAGAAACATCTCAAGGATGATCAATGGAAACAGGATGCACCTGAGCTTAATCTCAAGTCTCATAGCAAAGGGTCTGAATACTGTATCTGTTTTTTATTTGTAATACATTTGCAAACATTTCTAGAAACCTGTTTTTTTCTTTGTCATTATAGGGTATTGTGTGTAGATTTTAGAATAAGGCTGTAACGTAAAACAAAATGTGGAAAGAGTCAAGGGGTCTGAACACTTTCCAATTGCACACATTTATTTTACTCCTGTGTATGCCAAAACAGACACAGACAGGCAGGCATGCATACCTTGCAGCAGACGCAGAAGGCCTTGAGTGGGTTGAGGCTGAGCCAGCCGCTGTTGCCTGCCTCTCTGAAGCGGTTCATGAACTCTGTGTAGAGGGCCCTCTGCAGGGGCGACAGGCGCACCATGATCACATGCTCGTCCTTGGAGGGGAGCTGGTCTTTCAGCACGTCATGGCCACGCCTGGGAACAAACACAACCACAACACAACCAGAGTTAGACCACAAATATCTTTTCCATACAGATCTCTTCTACATTCATGAACAAACAAAACTAGAATCTCCATTTAAAGTACTTTTTAGTCCAGGAATTCAACTGGGGCAGCAGGTAGGCTAGCGGTTATGGAGGCGAGCCAGCAACTGGATGGTTGACAGTTCAAATTCCGGGTCAGACGGGAATAATCTGGCGGGTAGTGAGCTGGCAACCAGAGGGTTGCTGGTATCAAAATCCTAGATCCCATTGCCTGCCGTTGTGTCCTTGAGCAAGGCACTTAACCCCCCACAACAACAGCTCCGCAGGCGCCGAGTGTGGCAGCCCCCCCGCACCTCTACAAAAAAACCTGTATGTGTATTTATGCATGTGTGTTTACGGAGGGGTTGGGTAAAAGCAGAAGTCAAATTTCGGTTGGACCTTGTTTGCAATTGACCAATAAAGTAAGCTTAAGACTTAATCTGAGAGAGGGAAACTGGCCTATAAAGTATACAGAGAATACTGTAGTAGCAACAGTTCATGTGGGTTATAACCAGCTCTCATTCTCACCTCTGGACGAAGCCTTCCAGCAGGCTATGAAGGACATGACTTCGGTATCTCATCAACCGGACGTCCTGAGGCGTGCTGTCCACACACTGCCCGTTCAGAATGGGCCTCTCAAACATGTTACTAAACTCCTGCCTGGTACCCAGGAAATCAGGCCTGACAAAGTCCACCATGCACCAGTACTCTATCAGGTTGTTCTGGAGTGGGTATCCTGTGAGGACCACGCGTCTCCGTGTACGGATGTTCTTCAGGGCCTGCGAGGTGCTGGCGTGGCAGTTCTTAATGCGGTGGCCCTCGTCACAGATCACCACGTCCGGGCCGGGGAGAGACAGGGCCTTCTCTATGTCTTCAGGAGGGTAGAGGGATGTCAAGTTAGAGTTATTTCAGGAACAATGGTAGCCCTGAAGGTAAGATGTGTATGTAGGACTGATCCAAGCATTTACTTTATGTTCCATTAATCTAAGTGACTCATGTTATCGGAGTCACTCATGATGGAGTCATACTAAAGTGATGTCGTGACTGGGTAACTGGAAACCCATGCACTCATGCACACATCCTGGAGCACATGAAAAATATCTAACAAAGTGTTATCTAACATGGGTTCTAACAAAAGGTTAAACATTAGAGCTCTCAAAATCCATATGTGCAGATGACCTTGGTTTCACGCCATAAGCGTCTGGTTTGAAAACTCTGAAAAGTTCAGGCCATGACTGACATAACAGTGTCGATTGACAGGTGTCACTCTGAGGTGACCTTTTTGACCTACTGACCTTTGAGGAGCTCCTGCTGCCGGTCCTCTTTGTCCAGGTCAATGACCACTGGTCCTTGGGGCTTCTTGGACTTCTTCTTCCGGCCCGCCACAAAGCTCTTCTTCAGGGACAGCAGGCGGTACATCTCATAACCCATCAGGAGCACGCCGCCATCCCGCGACCAGTCATAGATCACCTTCGCTCTGGTGGCAGTGGTTCTGAAAGAGATGAGGGAAGAGAGCGACGAGAGGGAAAGAGAGATGGCACATCAGTGACAATGTTACACGCATAATAGTACAGGCATTTAAAGTACATCAAGTATCAAGACCTTTAGCAAGAAGGTTTGATTAAGATATAATGAAACCTTCGTGCTAAAGGTCTTGATACTTGATGTACTTTAAATACCTTAAGTACTTCAAGTAGTTACACACCTGGGCGAGTCATATTTGTACATACAGTACCGGTCAAAAGTTTGGACACACCTACTCATTCAAGGGTTTTTCTTTATTTTTACTATTTTCTACATTGTAGAATTTTATATTTGAGATTCTTCAAATAGCCACCCTTTGCCTTGATGACAACTTTGCACACTCTTGGCATTCGCTCAACTAGCTTCACCTGGAATGCTTTTCCAACCGTCTTGAAGGAGTTCCCACATATGCTGAGCACTTGTTGGCTGCTTTTCCTTCCCTCTGTGGTCCGACTCATCCCAAACCATCTCAATTGGGTTGAGGTCAGGGGATTGTGGAGGCCATGTCATCTGATGCAGCACTCCATCACTCTCCTTCTTGGTCAAATAGCCCTTACATAGCCTGGAGGTGTGTTGGGTCATTGTACTGTTGAAAAACAAATGATAGTCCCACTAAACCCAAACCAGATGGGATGGCGTATCGCTGTAGAATGATGTGGTAGCCATGCTGGTTAAGTGTGCCTTGAATTCTAAATAAATCACAGACAGTGTCACCAGCAAAGCACCCCCACACCATAACACCACCTCCTCCATGCTTTACGGTGGGAAATACACATGAGGAGATCATATGTTCTCCCACACCGCGTCTCACAAAGACACGGCGGCTGGAACCAAAAATCTCAAATTTGGACTCCAGACCAAAGGACACATTTCCACCGGTGTAATGTCCATTACTTGTGTTTCTTGGCCCAAGAAGGTCTCTTCTTATTATTGGTGTCCTTTAGTAGTGGTTTCTTTGTAGCAATTCGACCATGAAGGCCTGATTCACACAGTCCCCTCTGAACAGTTGATGTTGAGATGTATCGGTGACTTGAACTCTGTGAAGAACAAAGGTACAGTTGAAGTCGGAAGTTTACATACACTTAGGTTGGAGTCATTAAAACTTGTTTTTCAACCACTCCACAAATGTATTGTTAACAAAGTTTTGGCAAGACGGTTAGGACATCTACTTTGTGCATGACACAAGTCATTTTTTCCAACAATTGTTTACAGACAGATTATTTCACTTATAATTCACTGTATCACAATTCCAGTGGGTCAGAAGTTTCCAAACACTAAGTTGACTGTGCCTTTAAACAGCTTGGAAAATTCCAGAAAACGATGTCTTGGCTTTAGAAGGTTCTGATAGGCTAATTGACATCATTTGAGTCAATTGGAGGTGTACCTGTGGATGTATTTCAAGGCCTACCTTCAAATTCAGTGCCTCTTTGCTTGACATCATGGGAAAATCAAAAGAAATCAGCCAAGACCTCATAAAACAAATTGTAGCCCTCCACAAGTCTGGTTCATCCTTGGGAGCAATTTCCAAACGCCTGAAGGTACCACGTTCATCTGTACAAACAATAGTACGCAACACCATGGGACCACACAGATGTCATACCGCTCAGGAAGGAGACACGTTCTGTCTACTAGAGATGAACGTACTTTGGTGCGAAAAGTGCAAATCAATCCCAGAACAGCAGCAAAGGACCTTGTGAAGATGCTGGAGGAAACAGGTACAAAAGTATCTATATCCACAGTAAAACGAGTCCTATATCGACATAACCTGAAAGGCCGCTCAGCAAGGAAGAAGCCACTGCTCCAAAACCGCCATAAAAAAGCCAGACTACGGTTGCCACTGCACATGGGGACAAAGATCGTACTTTTTGGAGAAATGTCCTCTGGTCTGATGAAACAAATATAGAACTGTTTGGCCATAATGACCATCGTTATGTTTGGAGGAAAAAGGGGGTCGCTTGCAAGCCGAAGAACACCATCCCAACTGTAAAGCAAGGGGTGGCAGCATCTTGCTGTGGGGGTGCTTTGCTGCAGGAGGGACTGGTGCACTTCACAAAATAGATGGCATCATGAGGAAGGAATATTATGTGGATATATTGAAGCAACATCTCAAGACATCAGTCAGGAAGTTAAAGCTTGGTCGCAAATGGGTCTTCCAAATGGACAATGACCCCAAGCATACTTCCAAAGTTGTGGCAAAATGGCTTAAGGACAACAAAGTCAAGGTATTGGAGTGGCCATCACAAAGCCCTGACCTCAATCCTATAGAAAATGTGTGGGCAGAACTGAAAAGGCGTGTGCGAGCAAGGAGGCCTTCTCTCTCTACTATTATTCTGACATTTCACATTCTTAAAATAAAGTGGTGATCTAACTGACCTAAGACAGGGCATTTTTACTAGGATTAAATGTCAGGAATTGTGAAAAACTGAGTTGAAATGTATTTGGCTAAGGTGTATGTAAACTTACGACTTCAACTGTAACTCTAATGAACTTATTCTCTGCAGCAGAGGTAACTCTGGGTCTTCCTTTCCTGTCGTGGTCCTCATGAGAGCCAGTTTCATCATAGCGCTTGATGGTTTTTGTGACTGCACTTGAAGAAACTTTCTAAGTTCTTCACATTTTCCAGATTGACTGACCTTCATGTCTTAAAAGTAATGATGGACTGTCGTTTCTCTTTGCTTATTTGAGCTGTTCTTGCCATAATATGGACTTGGTCTTTTACCAAATAGGGCCATCTTCTGTATAGCCCCCTACCTTGTCACAACACAACTGATTGGCTCAAACGCATTAAGAAGGAATAAATTCCACAAATTAACTTTTAAGAAGGCACACCTGTTAATTGAAATGTAATCCAGGTGACTACTTCATGAAGCTAGTTGAGAGAATGCCAAGAGTGTGCAAAGCTGTCATCAAGGCAAAGGGTGGCTACTTTGAAGAATCTCAAATATATTTAGATTTGTTTAAAACTTTTTTGGTGACTACATGATTCCATTTGTGTTATTTCATAGTTTTGATGTTTTCACTATTATTCTACAATGTAAAAAATTGTCAAAAAAAAAAAAAAAAACACTTGAATCAGCAGGTGTGTCCAAACTTTTGACTGGTAGTGTCCATATATTTATTTTTAGAGACAGATCCTGGCAGTTGTGTGATAGAAGCAGAGCGAGAAAGAGCTGTGATGAATATCTCAGAGTGGGAGTGAGTCATCTCTAGTCACTCACAAACACAAACCATGATCAAGGCTAAAAGGCTTCAGCTTTTAAAGGGGAGGGAGTGGGATATCCCTGTTCCCAGAGAGGACGGGAAACTCACTTGTGCTCGTCATTCAGGATGTGGACCTTGAAGCTGCGCGGGGAGAAGTGGGCGGGGTTGATGTCCGCAGGTAATGCCTCAGAGGAAGGGACCCAGAGGTTAAACTCAGCCAGCCAGTTCTGTAACGTGTTGACCTGTAGCGAGAGGGTAGAGAGCGAGAGAGAGAGGGGTAGAGAGAGAGAAAGAGGTACAGAGGTAGAGCAAGGTAGAGAGAGAAAGAGGTATAGAGGTAGAGAGAACACAGAGAGAGAACACAGAGAGAAACAGAGAAATAGCAGAATGAGAGAGGTAGAGAGAGTGAGGTAGAGAGCGAGGTAGAGAGAGAGTGAGGTAGAGAGCGCGAGGTAGTGAGAGAGAGAGGTAGAGAGAGAAGAGAGAGAAGGGGTAGTGAGAGAGAGGTAGAGGTAGAGAGAGGTAGCGGTAAAGAGAGGCGTAGAGAGAGGGGTCGTGAGTAAGAGGTAGAGAGAGGGGAAGTGAGAGAGAGGTAGAGCGTGCGAGGTAGAGAGCGCGCAAGGTAGAGAGAGTGAGCGCGAGGTAGAGAGAGCGAGCGCGAGGTAGAGAGAGCGAGCGCGAGGTAGAGAGAGCGAGCGCGAGGTAGAGAGAGCGAGGTAGAGAGAGCGAGCGCGAGGTAGAGAGAGCGAGCGCGAGGTAGAGAGAGCGAGCGCGAGGTAGAGAGAGCGAGCGCGAGGTAGAGAGAGCGAGCGCGAGGTAGAGAGAGCGAGCGCGAGGTAGAGAGAGCGAGCGCGAGGTAGAGAGAGCGAGCGCGAGGTAGAGAGAGCGAGCGCGAGGTAGAGGGAGCGAGCGCGAGGTAGAGAGAGCGAGCGTGAGGTAGAGGGAGCGAGCGCGAGGTAGAGAGAGCGCGCGAGGTAGAGAGAGAAAGCGAGAGAGGGGTAGAGAGACAGGTAGAGGTAGAGAGAGAGAGAGAGAAAGTAAATTACCTCAGTCAAGAGATTACAAGCTAGATTCACACACCCCCATTGCGTTACGTCCAGTATGTACACGTCCAGTATGTACAAACAGAATAGAGAATGTAGCTCAATTGGTAGAGCATGGCGCTTGTAACGCCAGGGTAGTGGGTTCGATCCCCGGGACCACCCATACGTAAAAATGTATGCACACATGACTGTAAGTCGCTTTGGATAAAAGCGTCTGCTAAATGGCATATTATTATTATTATTATTATTATATTATTATTATAAAGAGAGAACAGAGTACACACAGACACTTACAGGAACGATGGCGAGCACGGTGTGGGCCTGCGTGTGTTTAAGCAGGATGTCTATAAAGGAGATGACCTGCAGGGTCTTGCCCAGGCCCATGCTGTGGGCAAGGATACAGCCGAAGCCACTGCTGCGCTTAAACCTCTCCAGAGACTCCACCAGGTTATCATACAGGAACCGGATCCCACCGATCTGACAGAGATGGAGAGGGGGAGAAAAGGAAGAGAAAAGAAATGAGGAAGGGAGGGAGAGAGAGACAGAAGTAGTGAGATCCTTAGCAGATTGATAAGGCTGTTAATTGTTATATTTGTTTGACTGCATTGTATACCATGGCTGTCTCCATGGGCTCTATGGGGTTTGGCAGAGACAGAAAATCTTAATTTAAAGTGCTTTTTAGGCTTAATACGGATCTGGGAAACTGGCCCTATATTAACTGCTAGGCTGCCTGTGCTAACAAGAGAATCCATGTCCCTATTGAGTCAGTGGTACCTGGTGAGGGGCGGCAGGTAGCTTAGTGGTTAAGAGCGTTGTGCCAGTAACCGAAGTCGCTGGTTCTAATCCCTGAGCCGACTAGGTGAAAAATCTGTTGATGTGCCCTAGAGCAAGGCACTTAACCCTAATTGCTCCTGTAAGTCGCTCTGGATAAGAGCGTCTGCTAAATGACTAAAATGTAAAAAATGTAATGTAAAATGTTTAACTCATGGTTGGTAGATTGATTACGTATGAAGAGAAAACTGTTTGATAGGCTTGATATTAGGGCTGGGCGGTATCCCGACTTTCATATCGTCATACCGTCCTTTTCTCACCCTGGGATTTACGGTATTACCGGCTTAGTATACAAGGGGGTGCCAAAAAACACAAAAAAGCCCATTGGGAGTCTATTATCATGATGGTAATAAAATTTGCACAAGTAATAGCACATTTCCATGGAGGCTGGTAGCTAAATATGCTAACGAGCGCAAATGAAAATAAACAAATTGCAAAGACAGGCAATCCAGCTCATAAAGTTATGCATATATAGGTAGGAGCTACCGAATGTCATTTTTGGTGAGTTTGGAAATTTACAAACAAATGTGAAAGAGAGACATTGTGCAAATGAACAAAGTTTTGACACATGCAGTACTGGCTCTCCAGCAGCATGTCTTTATTTCTTGTACACTTTTTACCCCTTTTTCATGATATACAATTGGTAGTTACAGTCTTGTCCCATCGCTGCAACTCCCGTACGGACTCGGGAGAGGCGAAGGTCGAGAGCCATGCGTCCTCCGAAACACGACCCTGCCAAGCCGCACTGCTTCTTGACACACTGCCCGCTTAACCCGGAAGCCAGCCGCACCAATGTGTCGGAGGAAACACCGTACACCTGGCGACCGTTGTATGCGTTCTATCAGCTGACAGCCCTCTGACTGATGTAGCTACTTTTCTCCGGTACTTCTCTCGGTGTAGCCAGCAAACTTTTCTCCAGTAAAATGAAAGATTAACTTTAAGCAAAACATTAGGAAATGTAGCTGGCAAAATTTTTTATATGATAGCCCTAAACATTAGAAATATGATGGCCATGCATAGTTTTTGCAAAAAATACTTTGCTTATTCATTTTAAGCTAATTTACTTGTGTGGTTGCCAGCCAAATAGCGTTGCACTTCTGTTGTCATCTAATCAAAATTAAGCTATTTAATGCTGAATGTGTTGCACTAATGTATTTTCTGTGAAGGAAAACTATAGTTGCACATCCCTGGTCACTCTATTGAAGCAAAAAAACACTGTTGACTCAATATAAAACGTGACCCCTGTCAATACACAGCTGGACACACCTGCCCCTGCTTTCCCCCGTTGTACAATAATGTGACAGGTGAAATAAGAACGCGATATGCTTCATCCCCTAACTCATTGCACAAGTTGACTGCAGGTATTTACTTACAAAATTGTTACAAATATTAAAATGTATTGGAAAAACGTCAAAAAAAATAGTTTCAACGGTATTGGAAAAACCATCCCGTGGCTATTTCTAAATACCCCGGTATACGGTATATACCGCCCAAGCCTACTTGATATTCTACTGAGGGAATCCATACCTGGTGAGGTTTGACGGCCCGGGCCAGTTGAGGGGAGAGGAACAGGTCTGCCTCCTCAGCAGGGTGGTTCAGGTTGACCAAGACACGCCCCAGGGCGTCCGGTTGGTTCACAGCGTCGTTGACGTGGGCGCCGCTGGCCTCCTCCGACCGCTCCTCCTCCTCCTCATTGGTGGACTTGCCTCTGATCTGGAGGGCGTCCTCCTCGCCTGAGCTCAGCTCGATCACGTCTATGGTTGAGAAAGGAAAAAGGAAAGGAGGACAAGGTGTTTATGTTAGAAGAGCTAGATGGATGTAGATGGAAATGGAGAAACATTTAATATATCTACGTAATACCAATATGTTTCAATTGCATTGTGTGGCTGCCTGTTGATCAAAACAATCATTTTCTACCATTATGTTACACAATATTGCCTAAACAAATACAATATCATACATTTCATTAGTTTCAATAACTCAATAATAAGTGTTTCAATAACACAATTTATCTCTAAATGAGGACATGTGTTTTCACAAATTCTATAAAATGAATGTAATTTTTTTCTGGCGTCATGTTTGTCTTAGTATCTTCAGGCAAACAAATCTTCAAAAAAGTTCCTCCCTGGACTGGTTTCAAATAGCAAAAAAACATCTAAATGGGTCCCCACGTCATCTAAATTAAGTGATAAGTTCAATAAACTTGTGCCGTTTTTTGAACTACAGATGTGGCCTAGAGGAGGGGAGGAGGGGAGGAGAGGGCGATAGAGAGCGGGCTTATGTAAGTCTAGTGAATGGGTGCTTATGCAAGATGGATTATAGTGGTGGGAGATGGGTTTACATAACCCTGGGCAGAAATGTCACCACACTGCCTAGGCTGGAAGCTGGCTGAGGCTGGGGCTGGCATTAACCAGCCATTTTCTCCATAGACCCACTTCCATTCCAGACATTGTCGCCTTAATTGCCTACCCTCTCACCCAGGACCCAAAAACGCCAGGTGGGTTGGAAGGGGGTTTAACTGGGAATGGATCTGTTCAGTGTGGATCTATGCCCACAAACAGACAGGTGTGTGTATGTGTGAATAAATGAGAGTGTGTGCGCACGCGCGTATGGGTGCATACGTGTGTGTGTGTGTGTGTGTGAGTAAGTGACACACACAGAGAGAGTTTGTTTGTGTGTGTGTGTGTGTGTGTGTTTGTGGGAGTCATGACCAGTGGAGGAAAAACACATGATGTACCCACCAGAGCTTAGTTCTATACTGTAGCCACTCTCCTGCTCTAGCACAGCTGATCTAGCTCAGACAACTGCTCAGAGCCAGTCGGGTACAGCACAAGGGCTGTGGAGGTCACGAAATTTCGTCAGCCGGTGATTGTCAAGCAAATAACTGCCAGTCTCACGGCAATTGACCGTTAATTAACATAAACACATTTAGCATCTCCTGGCTTCCACACATAGCCTACAAGACATTTAAAAAAGTCTAATAAATCCATGTAATATAGTCTAAACCTTCACAATGAATCCATTATTTATTTTAGACAGGTCTGAAGAAGCATAATATGATGAAAATGTAGTCTATTTCAGAAGGACAGAATAGCATACTCTGAGTTGTCCTTACGTTAGGTCCTGATGTGGCTATGCCAAATGGCTGTGGGCTACACTAGTTCATTTAGCAGACAAGATTTGCTTATAACTCCGTGGCATTATTTTATAGTATGAAGAATACAATTGAACAAAGCTGAATAAAATATAAATATTTTCTCCAAACGATTTGAGGGAGTGCACACATGCGGCTATTCTGTGTTGAGCGGTTAACAAAGAAATAGGTACCCCTATATGCTTAATTTAGAGTTATTAATGTAACTGTAGTTGTTCTACAAACGTTGGGCTATATGTTTTGATTTTTAATACATTGTAAGGCTGCATGATGAGACTAATGATAATTTGAAAAAAGTCGCTTGAAAGGCATGAGCTCTGCTTAGTTTTTTGCACAGGCTGTACACACTCCAATAGTCTCTCATTCACAATTTGACAAGCACTTGATAATGCCTTGAATTTCACCGCGGCATCCCCTTTGTGGCCGTAATGCACCCTAAAAAAAAATCCATGCCTTTTGTGGCCATGAGTGCTGCGTTGTGCCCTTCTCCCTGAGTGTGCTGCGCAATCCAAAGCCTCTCTCACTCACACAGCTCTGTCACGTGATCGGGTCTTTCTCACAGGCTACATTTACATTACATTTACATTTACGTCATTTAGCAGACGCTCTTATCCAAAGCGACTTACAAATAGGTGCATTCACCCTATAGCCAGTGGGATAACCACTTTACAATATCTTCTTTTTTTTTTCTTTTTTTAAGGGGGAGGGGGGTAGAAGGATTACTTTATCCTATCCCAGGTATTCCTTAAAGAGGTGGGGTTTCAAATGTCTCCGGAAGGTGGTGAGTGACTCCGCTGTCCTGGCGTCGTGAGGGAGCTTGTTCCACCATTGGGGTGCCAGAGCAGCGAACAGTTTTGACTGGGCTGAGCGGGAACTATGCTTCCGCAGAGGAAGGGGAGCCAGCAGGCCAGAGGTGGATGAACGCAATGCCCTCGTTTGGATGTAGGGACTGATCAGAGCCTGAAGGTACAGAGGTGCCGATCCCCTCACAGCTCCATAGGCAAGCACCATGGTCTTGTAACAGATGCGAGCTTCAACTGGAAGCCAGTGGAGTGTGCGGAGGAGCGGGGTGACGTGAGAGAACTTGGGAAGGTTGAACACCAGACGGGCTGCGGCATTCTGGATGAGTTGTAGGGGTTTAATGGCTACAGACATATCCGGGACGTAACTGCGCCTAACGAACAGCAAAAGCACTAGCCTATGTCAATCTATTATCCCCCATAGTACAAAAGTCGATCTATTCTATTCTGTGCGAGAAATACATATTCAAAACATAGTCTGGGACAGTTGTGGGATGCGATAGATACCAAATTAATACAACCACTAGCATCAAAAAACATGTTTTATGCAATGTGGCTGACGCAACAGATCAGAACGTTTAGCTTAAAATGCTGATACACTATTAGGCTATTTCTTCACATTATAAGCGCTGCAATGCGCACATGGTAGTAGGCTATAAGCGCGAATGTTCCATTAGAGGAAAACACCATTATCTAAAGTGACCGCAAATGCAATTATGCATGTAATGCTTTTATTATAAAGGTGTATTTTTATGGTGAAAATTATCTTCCCCAAACTTGAAACTCACGTGCTGCTTATATATGCCAGTTAGGCCCTACACCCCTTTTAAGGCAGATTCATGTGCTTAATTTTAAGACGTTATTTGGCCACTTTAGTTGTGATACAAACCTTATTAAAACATATAGGCCTATGGGCTAGGCTACATGAGGTGTGCGACTATGATTCGAACAAGTCGCAAAAAAAAGGCATTGTTTCTTATGCTGGGCATCATTCACAAGTGATAATATATAATTCACAAGTGATAGGCTAATACTGTCACCCATCAGACTATTCTTGATTTAATCTTGTCTTTACACAAAATAATATATGTGTGACATTTGTTTTGATTTAGAATGGACCATTATTATGCAACTGTATTGAAACAGGGACAGTGGAAAAAATACATGTTATCTACGCACTTAAATAGCGAATGGAGGACACTTTTCCCCGTGGTTTATTTTCATGCCAGCCAGGTAGGCTATACTCCTGTTGTAAATATAAGCAATGTGTTTAATATTAGGAAAGTTGAGAAATAAATATAGTAGGCCTAGCCTATAGAAAGCTGATGGGATCCTCTTCTTTTTATTAGCCGCCATCACTCTGTTTTCTCCCGCAATTCCATAGCCTATAGAAATGTTGCGCAACATGAGCTCATGGGCTCTCATTAAGTGTTTGATTAGATTTTCGAATACATTTGCACTGATGTCAGAGTGATTAGAGGGACAATAGAGCACTGAGTACCAGGCAGTTAGCAAGTTTGGTAGGCTACTAATGACCAGCAGCAGCATCAGAGTGTGGAGAAGCCTAATTACCGTGACTAAACTGTAGCTCAGTTGGTAGAGCATGGCGCTTGCAACGCCAGGGTTGTGGGTTCGTTTCCCACGGGGGGCCAGTATGAAAATGTATGCACTCACTAACTAAGTCGCTCTGGATAAGAGCGTCTGCTAAAATGACTAAAATGTAAAAAAAAGTGGAATTTGACTGCCTTCATGACTCGTGACCGCCGGTGTGGTGGTAATACGTTCACCGCAACAGCCCTATACAGCACACCCCAGTCCGTACGTACCCCATGATGTAATTTGGATAACTTTTCATGAAATACTTTCATAAAGTACACTGCAGCGAGACCATTCCCCTTACTTGACCTACAGTAAGTATCTGACCCACATTTGATCCCATTTACAACACCTGGTGTTCAAAGGTAATATGAGACTGACATTGGAACAGAGAAATAGGTCATAACATCACCAAGCATATAAAGCATGGCAGTCTTGACGTTCTAAATCCATCAGTGGTTCAGGATCCATGTTTGGTGTGGGACCCTTGATTTCAATAGAAATATTTTTATGTTCTATTAACTACAGTGTGACTTGGCTATTCTAAGGGAGTCTCTCAGAGTCATCTGATAACATGCCAAATTCATAAAGATCACTGGCCGAATGTTGTTGATGGACATCTAAGAATGACTGGAGCAGAGTTCCTCAGTATTGCACAACCAGGGCAGGTATTAAAAGCGTAGGAGTTCTGATCTAGGATCATTTTGGCCTTTTAGATCATAATGAATAAGATAAAATGGACAGGGGACCTGATCCTAGATCAGCACAGGAGGACCACAATCAGTCTCAGTTAACATGTGTAATATAATGTATAATAATATGTAATGTGTGACAGACCCTGGGGCTTCTCTAGCTTGATGAGGGATACTAAACAGCGTCTCATAGTGACTGGAGTCTCACCTTCTTTGGGGGCGTGTGCTTCTGGGACCAGAGCTTTGGAGTCATCTTCTCTGATGTTAGTGCTGCTGTTACTGGTGTCCAGGCAGATCACATGGTCCTGTTTGGCCACACTAGCAGACACACTCTGAGACAGATCTCCTGGAGGGGACAGAGGGAGAGACGCAGTAGTTAATCACCTGAGTGTATTAAGTATCAACGAGTGAATTCATTCTATTATGATATATTTTTTGGTGTGTGATTTCTTAAATGTATTAACCCATCCACCAACCCCCTCTTCGGAGGACACACACATATATATATATATACACACACACTGCTCAAAAGAATTAAGGGAACACTTAAACAACACAATGTAACTCCAAGTCAATCACACTTCTGTGAAATCAAACTGTCCACTTAGGAAGCAACACTGATTGACAATACATTTCACATGCTGTTGTGCAAATGGAATAGACAACAGGTGGAAATTATAGGCAATTAGCAAGACACCCCCAATAAAGGAGTGGTTCTGCAGGTGGTGACCACAGACCACTTCTCAGTTCCTATGCTTCCTGGCTGATGTTTTGGTCACTTTTGAATGCTGGCGGTGTTTTCACTCTAGTGGTAGCATGAGACGGAGTCTACAACCCACACAAGTGGCTCAGGTAGTGCAGCTCATCCAGGATGGCACATCAATGCGAGCTGTGGCAAGAAGGTTTGCTGTGTCTGTCAGCGTAGTGTCCAGAGCATGGAGGCGCTACCAGGAGACAGGCCAGTACATCAGGAGACGTGGAGGAGGCCGTAGGAGGGCAACAACCCAGCAGCAGGACCGCTACCTCCGCCTTTGTGCAAGGAGGAGCAGGAGGAGCACTGCCAGAGCCCTGCAAAATGACCTCCAGCAGGCCACAAATGTGCATGTGTCTGCTCAAACGGTCAGAAACAGACTCCACGAGGGTGGTATGAGGGCCCGACGTCCACAGGTGGGGGTTGTGCTTACAGGCCAACACCGTGCAGGACGTTTGGCATTTGCCAGAGAACACCAAGATTGGCAAATTCGCCACTGGCGCCCTGTGCTCTTCACAGATGAAAGCAGGTTCACACTGAGCACGTGACAGACGTGACAGAGTCTGGAGACGCCGTGGAGAACGTTCTGCTGCCTGCAACATCCTCCAGCATGACCGGTTTGGCGGTGGGTCAGTCATGGTGTGGGGTGGCATTTCTTTGGGGGGCCGCACAGCCCTCCATGTGCTCGCCAGAGGTAGCCTGACTGCCATTAGGTACAGAGATGAGATCCTCAGACCCCTTGTGAGACCATATGCTGGTGCGGTTGGCCCTGGGTTCCTCCTAATGCAAGACAATGCTAGACCTCATGTGGCTGGAGTGTGTCAGCAGTTCCTGCAAGAGGAAGGCATTGATACTATGGACTGGCCCGCCCGTTCCCCAGACCTGAATCCAATTGAGCACATCTGGGACATCATGTCTTGCTCCATCCACCAATGCCACGTTGCACCACAGACCGTCCAGGAGTTGGCGGATGCTTTAGTCCAGGTCTGGGAGGAGATCCCTCAGGAGACCATCCGCCACCTCATCAGGAGCATGCCTAGGCGTTGTAGGGAGGTCATACAGGCACGTGGAGGCCACACACACTACTGAGCCTCATTTTGACTTGTTTTAAGGACATTACATCAAAGTTGGATCAGCCTGTAGTGTGGTTTTCCACTTTAATTTTGAGTGCGACTCCAAATCCAGACCTCCATAGGTTTATAAATTTGATTTCCATTGATCATTTTTGTTTGATTTTGTTGTCAGCACATTCAACTATGTAAAGAAAAAAGTATTTAATAAGATTATTTTATTCATTCAGATCTAGGATGTGTTATTTTAGTGTTCCCTTTATTTTTTTGAGCAGTGTATATACACATATACATACATACATTTATTTTTACAGCTTTTCTGCCACAAATACATTTTACATATACATTGTACTTTTATATACAGCAATCACATAACAATTATACATTACTGAACATAAGGTCTTTAATCCCACCCCTCAGCCACTCTCAGCCCATCCCACCTATAACCATAGACCACCCTCGTTTGGTTTCCATGTGCCATATACACTACCAGTCAAAAGTTTGGACACAGAAGATAGCCCTATTTGGTAAAAGTCCATATTATGGCAAGAACAACTCAAATAAGCAAAGAGAAACGACAGTCCATCATTACTTTAAGACATGAAGGTCAGTCAATACGGAAAATGTCAAGAACTTTGAAAGTTTCTTCAAGTGCAGTCACAAAAACCATAAATCGCTATGATGAAACTGGCTCTCATGAGGACCGCCACAGGAATGGAAGACCCATAGTTACCTCTGCTGCAGAAGATAAGTTCATTAGAGTTACCAGCCTCAGAAATTGCTTCCCAAATAAACGCTTCAGAGTTCAAGTAACTCAACATCAACTGTTCAGAGGGGACTGTGTGAATCAGGCCTTCATGGTCGAATTGCTGCGAAGAAACCACTACTAAAGGACACCAATAAGAAGAAGAGACCTGCTTGGTCCAAGAAACACGAGCAATAGACATTAGACCGGTGGAAATGTGTCCTTTGGTCTGGAGTACAAATTGGAGATTTTTGGTTCCAACCGCCGTGTCTTTGTGAGACGCGGTGTGGGTGAACGGATGATCTCCGCATGTGTGGTTACCACCGTAAAGCATGGAGGTGCTATGGTGTGGGGGTGCTTTGCTGGTGACACTGTCTGTGATTGATTTAGAATTCAAGGCACACTTAACCAGCATGGCTACCACAGCATTCTGCAGCGATACGCCATCCCATCTGGTTTGGGCTTAGTGGGACTATCATTTGTTTTTCAACAGTACAATGACCCAACACACCTCCAGGCTGTGTAAGGGCTATTTGACCAATAAGGAGAGTGATGGAGTGCTGCATCAGATGACCTGGCCTCCACAATCCCCCGACCTCAACCCAATTGAGATGGTTTGGGATGAGTCGGACCGCAGTGTGAAGGAAAAGCAGCCAACAAGTGGTCAGCATATGTGGGAACTTCAAGACTTTTGGAAAAGCATTCCAGGTGAAGCTGGTTGAGAGAATGCCAAGAGTGTGCAAAGCTGTCATCAAGGCAAAGGGTAGCTATTTGAAGAATCTCAAATACAAAATATATTTTGATTTGTTTAACACTTTTTTGTTTACTACATGATTCCATATGTGTTATTTCATAGTTCTGATGTCTTCACTATTATTCTACAATATAAAAAATTGTAAAAATAAAGAAAAACCCTTGAACGAGTAGGTGTGTCCAAACCTTTGACTGGTAGTGTATTTTTCAATTGTACTGTGATGTTTTACATACATTTTGAACCTTTCTAATCGTATAGTATCCACAGATTGTGAGCTAAAGATGAAAACCTTTCCTACAAGTATTATTATATTATTTATTGACTATGTCTTTCCAAATCACCCAACACTGCTATTTGTAAGGTACATTTTAAGTGAATGTTGTGATTTTTTTAACCATTCCTGAACCTGTGACCAGAAACAAGCTACATAGCGGCAATACCAGAATAAATGATCTAGTGAGTCTGTCTCTTCGCAGCAAAATTTACAGAGCTGAGATTGTTGTATGCCCAATATATATAGCATTCTGTTGGTGGCAAGAATTTTGTATAATAATTTGAAAAATTGAAAAACTTCAAGTGTTGAATCAAGTGTTGTTTTTTGTATCAGTTCATAAACCATGTGCCATGGAATCGGTACATCGAAAATCTCTTCACATTTATTTTGCAACCTGTCTGGCGCAGCTGTCAACATTTTTGTCCTCAAATGAAACTGGTATAGTTTTCTATTTATGCCCATTCTTTTCACCCAATTTGTATCTTTAATATATGGCAGACAAACAAGTTCCCTACCTTCTCCCTTTTACACTTGCCTAATGCTGCAATCAGTTGGTTATAAATTTGGATTGAGCAGACATTCCCATATATTTTCGATAGCTGCATATGTGACATAACTCCACCGTTTCTATTCATAATATCATTAATAAATATAATAAAACATTTTTTCCATAAATATATATTTTTTAATTAAGGCGTATATTTTAGTTTAACTATAATATTTGTTGTAATATTTATTATTTCTTTTCTGGAGGATAAAAGTGAAATTGTAACCAGCTTTGTATGGCTTGTTTAAGAAAGGGCCATACTTTAAGCAAAATCGTATTTTCAATTAGTCGGAAATGAGAAGTTGTAATCTGTATAAAGGCAGAAAGGCCATTTATAAACAAAGGATGAGCCTTTCTTAATAATCTACTGGAGAACCATTATGGGTTTAAGTATAATTGATGTATGAGTGACGATTTTATTTAATAAGAGACCTGCTTTAATATTTAATAATTTTAGCCCCTCAAACTCATATTCATTATATAAATAGGCACATTTAATTTTGTCTGGCTTAGCATTCCAAATAAAATGAAATATTTTTTGCTCATATGATTTAAAAAAAACTAGTTGTCTGGAGTAGGCAGCGCCATTAGTAAGCAAGTAAACTGTGATAGGACCAAAGAGTTAATCAATGTGATTTTGCCATAAATAGACAAGTATTTCCTCTCCATGGTTGCAGAATCTTATCTATTTTTTGCAAACTTTCTATTGAAATTGATTGCGGTAAATTCATTTATATTTTTTGAGATATGAATAACAAGTATGTCAACTTCACCATCCGCCCATTTTATTGGTAAACTACAAGGTAGTGTAAACACTGTCTTTTAACGACCCAATATGTAATATGGCACACTTGTCATAATTAGGTTTTAGTCCAGAGAGGCAAGAAAAGTGATCAAGGTCTTCAATGAGACTGTGCAGGGATCCAGATTGCGGACTTAAGAAAAGAACTTGAGTCATCGGCATACATTGACACGTTTGTTTTTATCCCCTGGATTTCTAACCTCTTGATGTTCTTGTTGGATCTAATTTTAATAGCTAACATTTCAATGGCCATAATAAATAGATATGGAGACAAACGACAGCCTTGTTTTACTCCTCTTAAAAGCTCAATACTTTGAGAAGTAACCATTATTTACTATTTTACACCTGGGGTTGCTGTACATAACTTTAACCCATTGTATAAGAGATTCGCCGAAATTAAAGTAATCCAGGCATTTATATACAGTGGGGAGAACAAGTATTTGATACACTGCCGATTTTGCAGGTTTTCCTACTTACAAAGCATGTAGAGGTCTGTAATTTTTATCATAGGTACACTTCAACTGTGAGAGACGGAATCTAAAACAAAAATCCAGAAAATCACATTGTATGATTTTTAAGTAATTCATTTGCATTTTATTGCATGACATAAGTATTTGATACATCAGAAAATCTGAACTTAATATTTGGTACAGAAACCTTTGTTTGCAATTACAGAGATCATATGTTTCCTGTAGGTCTTGACCAGGTTTGCACACACTGCAGCAGGGATTTTGGCCCACTCCTCCATACAGACCTTCTCCAGATCCTTCAGGTTTCGGGGCTGTCGCTGGGCAATACGTACTTTCAGCTCCCTCCAAAGATTTTCTATTGGGTTCAGGTCTGGAGACTGGCTAGGCCACTCCAGGACCTTGAGATGCTTCTTACGGAGCCACTACTTTGTTGCCCTGGCTGTGTGTTTCGGGTCGTTGTCATGCTGGAAGACCCAGCCAGGACCCATCTTCAATGCTCTTACTGAGGGAAGGAGGTTGTTGGCCAAGATCTCGCGATACATGGCCCCATCCATCCTCCCCTCAATACGGTGCAGTCGTCCTGTCCCCTTTGCAGAAAAGCATCCTCAAAGAATGATGTTTCCACCTCCATGCTTCACGGTTGGGATGGTGTTCTTGGGGTTGTACTCATCCTTCTTCTTCCTCCAAACACAGCGAGTGGAGTTTAGACCAAAAAGCTCTATTTTTGTCTCATCAGACCACATGACCTTCTCCCATTCCTCCTCTGGATCATCCAGATGGTCATTGGCAAACTTCAGACGGGCCTGGACATGCGCTGGCTTGAGCAGGGGGACCTTGCGTGCGCTGCAGGATTTTAATCCATGACGGCGTAGTGTGTTACTAATGGTTTTCTTTGAGACTGTGGTCCCAGCTCTCTTCAGGTCATTGACCAGGTCCTGCCGTGTAGTTCTGGGCTGATCCCTCACCTTCCTCATGATCATTGATGCCCCACGAGGTGAGATCTTGCATGGAGCCCCAGACCGAGGGTGATTGACCGTCATCTTGAACTTCTTCCATTTTCTAATAATTGCGCCAACAGTTGTTTCCTTCTCACCAAGCTGCTTGCCTATTGTCCTGTAGCCCATCCCAGCCTTGTGCAGGTCTACAATTTTATCCCTGATGTCCTTACACAGCTCTCTGGTCTTGGCCATTGTGGAGAGGTTGGAGTCTGTTTGATTGAGTGTGTGGACAGGTGTCTTTTATACAGGTAACGAGTTCAAGCAGGTGCAGTTAATACAGGTAATGAGTGGAGAACAGGAGGGTTCTTAAAGAAAAACTAACAGGTCTGTGAGAGTTGGAATTCTTACTGGTTGGTAGGCGATCAAATACTTATGTCATGCAATAAAATGCAAATTAATTACTTAAAAATCATACAATGTGATTTTCTGGATTTTACAGACCTCTACATGCTTTGTAAGTAGGAAAACCTGCAAAATCGGCAGTGTATCAAATACTTGTTCTCCCCACTGTATACATTCTAGTCGTACTTTATCAAATGCCAGGCCTTGTATCTTCTATAATGATCCTAAGATAATATTATATTTCAAGAGAATAGTATTTCAAGACAAAAATATTTCTGATTAGACACTCCAGCTATCAATTACGTGTGTGTTTGTGTATATCCTCACCTGGTGTGTACTCGGGTAGCAGGGGCACAGGGAAGTGCCCTTCCTTCCTCTGCTGTTCCAGCCTCCGCAGCCTCTCCAGCTCCTCCTGCTTGGCAGCTTTGGTCACCACCTCTAACTGGTGCTCCCTCAGTAGCTTTCTACATCACAGAGAGGGATAGAGGGAGAAGAGAGAGCTCAGAATAGGCACCAGGCATCCATCTCTGTTATAGGGCCAACAGACTGACTAGACCGAGCCAGATCGCATGGGGATATACATTACTAATGCTGTATGTGTTCATTTGTGTGTGTGTCTATGTATCTCTGTATGTGTGTGTGTATGTATGTGTGTAATACACTACATGGCCAAATGTATGTGGACACCTGCTCGTCGAACATCTCATTCCAAAATTATGGGCATTAATATGGAGTTGGTCCCCCCTTTGCTGCTATAACAGTCTCCACTCTTCTGGGAAGACTTTCCACTAGATGTTGAAACAGCCCGAACCATGAAAAACAGCCCCAGACCATTTTTCCTCCTCCACCAAAATTTACAGTTGGCACTATGCATTCGGGCAGGTAGCGTTCTCCTGGCATTCCACCAAACCCAGATCCATGTGTCGGACTGCCAGATGGTGAAGTGTGATTCATCACTCCAGAGAACGTGTTTCCACTGCTCCAGAGTCCAAAGGCGGCGAGCTTTATACCACTCCAGCCGACGCTTGGCATTGCGCATGGTGATCTTAGGCTTGTGTGCAGCTGCTCGGCCATGGTAAAGCCGTTTCATGAAGCTCCCGACGAACAGTTCTTGAGTTGACGTGGCTTCCAGCAGCAGTTTCGAACTTGGTAGTGAGTGTTGCTCCTAGATGTTGTTGCTCATAGATGTTTCCACTTCACAATAACAGCACTTAGAGTTGACCGGGGCAGCTTTATTTTGACAAACTGACTTGTTGGAAAGGTGGCATCCTATGATGGTGCCATGTTGAAAGTCACTGAGCTCTTCAGAAGGGGCCATTCAACTTCCAATGTTTGTCTATGGAGATTGCATGGCGGTGTGCTCCATTTTATACACTTGTCAGCAACGGCTGAAATAGCCAAATCCACTAATTTGAAGGGGTGTCCACATAGTGTATGCTTCTCTGCGCGCGCGTGTGTGTGTGTGTGTGTGAGTGAGAAGTGTAATACTGTAATAAACACTGGGGAAATAATCCAACTCAGGGCAGCAAGGTTGAGTAATACAGAGCATTCATAGTAATACTTAGAGCATTCATAGTGAGCCCTTCCTAGGGAAAATCAATAATATAATAATAATATGCCATTTAGCAGACGCTTTTATCCAAAGCGACTTACAGTCATGTGCGCATACATTTTTACGTATGGGTGGTCCCGGGGATCGAACCCACTACCCTGGCGTTACAAGCGACGTGCTCTACCAATTGAGCTACAGAGGACCGCGCAAGACAGAACGCTAGATAATGCTAGAGAACACAGATGAAGATACACTACGTGTGCTGTATGGATAGATGATAAAGAGTTAGGGAATTAATGGTTAAATATCACCATTCATTGCATCTTTGAAGCTGGTTAAGGGCCTATATTAGATGTTCTCTATTTCTGTGAGTTTGGTTGTTGTTAGAGGTCAGGGGTCATACCGGATGTTCCTCCTCATGTGTGCGGGTTTGTTGGAGTGGGAGTGGGACCTCTTCTTGGTTCCACTCAGGGACCGCGAGGGGATTTGGCTCTCAGGCCGTGAGGACGGTCGAGAGTGGAGCTGCGTTGAGGGGTGGGACGGCGTCTCCCCCGAGTCTGAGGTAGATGGGGGGGTGCACTGCCATCCCGCTGAGTCCCCTCCCTGCGCTTCATTCTCCGAGCTGAAGGGAGCGCTATGAGGCTGGTCTGTAGAGAGAGAGAGGGAGGGAGGGAGGGGGAGGTTGTTATTATTGGTATACAAAACATAAATCAATTAAAATAAATGTTGATTAAATACCTTTAAAGGTATGCTGTATATCAGTGGTTCCCAACTCCAGTCCTTGAGTACGCCCAACAGCACACATTTTTGTTGTAGCCCTGGACAAAAAACACCCGATTCAACTCAATGAGGAGCTGATGATTACTTGACAAGTTGAATCAGGTGTGCATGTCCAGGGCTACAATAAAAATGTGTACTGTTGTGGGTACTCGAGGACTGGAGTTGTATATAACAGGCATGGATTGCACCATCACTGAAGGAGGGGTAAAGCCTGATTCGAGAACAGTAAAAAAAAAAAACAGACCCAGAGGTATTGATATAAAAGAGCCATTGAGACACACATTTTTTGTAGTTAAGAGGGAGTGACTGGGCCAGAGTTGGATACAAACCTGTCTGGCCCTGCCTTCTTCCCTGCCTCCAGACTGGAGACACACTGGACTGGGGTGCTTATGTAAGTGCTAATAAATATGGAAAGCTTCTGAAACCATGACCACAGTGGCTACGTGAAGGGGCTAAGTTAAGAGGCTATGGGCAGGTGTTTCTGGCGCTCCATGCGGCTGGACAGAGTGACTAACAAGGTTGAGGAGGAAACCAAGGTTACGGCCCACATAAACAGCCCTCTCAGTATGATCCACATACATCTCCACTGTCACATTGTAGCCAACACTGACATAATCAATCAAACCCAATACAGCTCAACCCAGCCCCACCTAACCCAAAGTCATATATTCATACCCCTTGACTTGTTCCACATTTAGTTTTGTTACAGCCTGAATAAAAAATGGATGAAATATATTTTAGCAAATTTTTTACATAAGTATTCACACCCGAGTCCATATTTTGTAAAAGCATATTTGGCGGCAATTACAGCTTTGAGAATGTCCGTATCAGTTTAGCACATCTCGGAAACCTTCAACACTCCAGAAATTGTTTTATACCCTTCCCCAGACATACATTACCAGTCAAAAGTTTAGACACCTACTCATTCGTTTTATTTTTGTTAGTTTTTTACATTGTAGAATAATAGTGAAGACATCAAAACTATGAAATAACACATAGGGAATCATGTAGTAACCAAAAAAGTGTTCAACAAATCAAAATATATTTTATATTTGAAATTATTCAAAGTAGCCACCCTTTGCCTTGATGACAGCTTTGCACACTCTTGGCATTCTCTCAACCAGCTTCATGAGGAATGCTTTTCCAACAGTCTTGAAGGAGTTCCCACATATGCTTAGCACTTGTTGGCTGCTTTTCCTTCACTCTGCGGTCCAACTCATCCCAAACCATCTCAATTGGGTTGAGGTTGGGTGATTGTGGAGGCCAGGTCATCTGATGCAGCACCATCACTCTCCTTCTTGGTAGAATAGCCCTTACACAGCCTGGAGGTATGTTTTGATTCACGCAGTCTCCTCTGAACAGTTGACGTTGAGATGTGTCTGTTACTTGAACTCTGTGAAGCATTTATTTGGGCTGCAATCTGAGGTGCAGTTAACTCTAATGAACTTATCCTCTGCAGCAGAGGTAACTCTGGGTCTTCGTTTCCTGTGGCGGTCCTCATGAGAGCCAGTTTCATCATAGCGGTTGATGGTTTTTGCGACTGCACTTGAATAAACTCTTCAAAGTCCAAATTATCCAGATTGACTGACCTTCATGTCTTAAAGTAATGATGGACTGTCATTTCTCTTTGCTTATTTGAGCTGTTCTTGCCATAAAATGGAATTGGTCTTTTACCAAATAGGGCTATCTTCTGTATACCACCCCTACCTTGTCACAACACAACTGATTGGCTCAAACGCATTAAGAAGGAAAGAAATTCCACAAATTAACTTTTAACAAGGCACACCTGTTAATTGAAATGCATTCCAGGTGACTACCTCATAAAGCTGGTTGAGAGAATGCCAAGAGTGTGCAAAGCTGTCATTAAGGCAAAGGGTGGCTACTTTGAAGAATCTCAAATCTATTTTGATTTGTTTAACACTTTTTTGGTTACAACATGATTCCATGTGTGTTATTTCATAGTGTTGATGTCTTCACTATTATTCTACAATGTAGAAAATAGTAAAAATAAAGAAAAACCCTTGAATGAGTAGGTGTGTCCAAACTTTTGACTGGTACTGTATGCCTCATCACAATTCTCGGAGAACTAGGAACAGTTCCTTGGACTTCATGGTATAGTTTCTGCTCTGACATGCACTGTCAATTGTGGGACCTTCTATAGACAGGTGTGTTAATTTTTAAATAATGTCCAAACAATTGAATTGGCCACAGGCGGACTCCAATCATGTTGTAGTTACATCAATGATGATCAAAGGAAATTGGATGCACCGGAGCTCAATTTGGAGTGTTCTAGCAAAGGGGTGTGAATATTTATGTAAATGAGATATCTCTGTATTTCATTTTTTTGGTCATTTCTAAAAACATGTTTTCACTTTGTCATTATGGGGTATTGTGTGTGTAAATGGGTGAGAAAAAAAATCATTTGAATCAGCAAATATTGACTCTTTGCATAAACTTAATGTAATTGTCAATAAAAGCCTTTGACAGTTATGGAATGCTTGTAATTATACTTCAGTATACCATAGTAACATCTGACAGAAATATCTCATAACACTGAAGCAGCAAACTTTGTGAAGACCAATACTTGTCATTCTCAAAACTTTTGACCATGACTGTATATGGCTCTTTTACCTATAAGCCCAGCTTGTCACCCAAGCCTGACCCAGTCCTGTATTGTCCTGACCTGCTCAGATCCACATACACAATTCTTCTCAACCAGGAAAACATCACTGCTCCACACTGACAGCCATTAGCATAGCCAACCCTTTGAACCCAGACTGACCCAACAGCACATCAGTCAGGACAGAACATCCATCCTGGGCCAAGTTTGGTCCAGTCCAGCCAGACTACTCTATCTCAGAACCAGACTCCAAGGGCAGAGTGGTGAGGCAGGAACACCTGGAGCTTGTTACATTTCACTGAGGGTGTGTCCAAAATGGCACCTTGTTCCCTATATGCTTTTGAAGTAGTGCACTATATAGGGAACAAGGTGACACCTTCAGGAAAACCCAGCCAGGAAAGCCTCCGACTAAAACAGGCTAACGTAAAAAAAAATAAAAATACAATAAAAAATGAGAATAGGCAAAACAGGAAGAAAAGTAATTTATATAATGCAGACAGAGGCTGCTGGTGAGAGTTGAAAAGCAAATGACATAAAACGCCCTCTCTTCGACTAACCTAATCTACAAAATGACCTATTTTGCTCTGAATTTAGTTCCATTAGCTTTTATATCCCATTGTGACCTCTGTCATATTGGTTATACAAACCAATTTAACAAGATATATAATACAGAGGTTATTGAAAGGTTGGGCACAAAACCCTTATATGAAGTAGGTATTCAACACATTTTAAAAGGGATACATGATGTAATCCAGAAGGTTGTCGAAAGGCTGTGTATATGTTGTATTTCTGGACTTTGTCCCTCCGTTACAGCTGCGGTACAATTCCAGACATCATTTTTCTCTCTGGGACGCAACATAGCCTAAAGTGATCTTTCTGTAGGAAGCAAACCCTTTGCTAATTGCCAGGCAGTTCATCAGTCATACTTTTTCATACTGGTCCCCAGTGGGAATCGAACTCACAACCCTGGCGTTGCAAGCGCCATGCTCTACCAACTCGTCCCAGGGTCGCCCCCACTCCTCCCCTTCCCAGTCTTGCTCTCCCTCCCTCCCAGTCCCCACTACCTTAAAGCACAGTTACATAACAGATTCCTGAAATGCACAATTCCTTCTGATGATTCACACCCATGCAGCACAGACAGAGCACAGTTTACAGTACACTCAGAGAGAAAGGGGGGATTGACTTGAACAGGGGGGTAAGAGAGAGAGAATGTTCTTCAGTGACAGAGAGGGAAGGATCAGAATGCACTTCTAGGAAGTGGGGGGAATCGAACACACAGTCACACATCGCTATGTATGGAACGAAAGGGTAATTCATTAGCTTGTCCTCCTGGTTTTAGTTCCAGAAATAACTCCCTTACCAGTGAAAAAAACTCTGACCCTTATGCAACAGCAGGCACTAAGCCTATTAATAGCTAGGTCAGCTTTGATTATCAAGATCCTCAAGAACCCCCCCCCCAAGACAAAACCATGGGGTGATGTGGGACGGTAGTTTAGTGTAGGTTATTTTTAGGCTTTACCATGTAGACCAGGGATGGGCAACTGGCAGCCGTTTTTGTAGGCCCGCGGATCAATACCCCCACAAAAACAATGATTTGTAATTTTACTAATATCTTTTTAGGAACTCAGTCGAGGTCTCAACTTACTGTTGAGAATTAGAATAGTAGAAAGCACAAGGCGCAATTACGAAATTTGGTTGTGAATCAGCAGTTTCTCTTGTTATGTGAGTCACTCCATTAGCCCATGTCAGCAAAACATTTTTTGATTGGTAAATTAGTCTAGCCAGCTATCTATCTAAACTTGTTGTAATCATGGTTGAACCTTTTGCAAGTCACTCTCACTCAGATTTGGCAACATGTGTAGAAGATCAGGAAATTTGCTGTAAAACTACAAAATGAGTGAATTTCACTTAGGGCCCCCAAAAGGCTAGGGACGGCTCTGACTGCATGTGTGGTTATGGATGTGGGTATGCAGGCCAGCGAGCCACTGTGGCCCCTCATGCGCAGTTCAGATTTTTTGTGGCCCCCACCCCCATCAAAGTTGTCTATCCCTGATGTAGACCAAAGCCTCATCAGGCCAAGTTAAGCTAGCCAGCATCCCAAAAATAATTTTAACAGCAGCAATCAGTTTATTAGGTACACCACCCCGTTCATGAAAATGGATCGCTCCTACACACAGTGAGTCATGTGGAAAACAAACAGACAAATAACAGCGCAGTACAACAGTGGTGTGCTGAACGGCATCTCGGAAGGCACAACTCATCGATCCTTGTCACGGATGGGGTATTGCAGCAGACGACCACACAGGATTCCACTCCTATCAGCTAAAAACAAGAAGAACCGGCTCCAGTGGGCACGCGATCACCAACACTAGACAATTGAGGAGTGGAAAAACATTGCCTGGTGCGACGAATCCCGGTTCCTGCTGCGTCATGCTGATGGCAGAGTCAGGATTTTACATAAGTAGCATGAGCCCATGGACCCATCCTGCCTGGTGTCAACGGTACAGGCTGGTGGCGGTGAACTGGTGTGAGGAATGTTTTTCTGGCACAAGTTAGGTCCCTTTATACCAACTGAGCAACGATTGAACGCCACAGCACATCTGAACATTGTTGCTGGCCAAACCCAATAGAGCATCTTCGGGATGAGATAGAACAGCTGTTCGCAGTATGAATGTACCGCCGTCCAATCTGCAGCAACTGCATGATGCCATCGCATCAGCATGGACCAACATCCCTGTGGAATGTTTCCGAAACCTTGTAAAATCCATGCCCCAAAGAATTCAGGCTGTTCTGGAGGCAAAGGAAGGTCCGACCCAGTACTAGATGGGTGTACCTAATAAACTGAATGTACAGTGGGGAAAAAAAGTATTTAGTCAGCCACCAATTGTGCAAGTTCTCCCACTTAAAAAGATGAGAGAGGCCTGTAATTTTCATCATAGGTACACGTCAACTATGACAGAC